ACTATTGGTAAATATACATCTACTGATGTATTTACCAATAACTTTTACCTAATAGAAAAAGAAAACTACACCTCAGAGGTTTCAATCATTAAAACTTTAACTAGGCTCAAACCAAATATGCAGCAAAAAGCAATATTAATTTAAAACTACAGTTTGTGGAAATGTAATTAAGTACACTTAATTGGAAACAACTTTTCAGAACTCGGCTGTTATGCCTCGTGTAGGTATGCAAACGTGGCTCGTTGGCATACGTCATACATTGCTACTTTGCTTGTTTTCGTTAGGACGATGACGCGAACCGATGCCGCATTGTACGACGAACTCATTACATCTTTGTGAATGAATCCTTGATCTCGACATTTTTTTATGTCATAGGTCTGCTTATGAACATACTGTTTTCCTGATGGTAAGCAATCAGCCCGCTATGGACACTTGTAATATCAAAGGAGTTACTATAAGTGCGGTTGCCGGCCTCTTGTGGGTTATAAGGGATTTAGAGAAAGGGAATTTGAGAATTGAGGATGTGGAAAGGATTGGGCCTCCGGTTACCTCACTCACACGGTGAAACTAATCGAAAGTGTTGCTTCACGCCGGTTTTCTGTGAAGACGTGGTATCACTCCGGTCGAGCCAACCCATTCGTGCCGAAGCATGGCTGTTTTCCATCTCGGTTTCTCTTTTTTATACATGTTTAAAAACCTTGTCAGTTCATTTGGACACAAAATAGTTTCAAAACGGAAACACTTAAAATTCGTCAACATTTTGAAAGCGTTAGTCAGCGAAAATTTCAAGTATCCCGAAAATATTTTCGCGCGCAATATGCTCGCTTAGAACAATGGCCGTCTTTTACTAGGTAGGTACAGTCTTAATTAGTAAGTTAGTTAGCTCATCGCATACGTGTAACAATTACCTACTTCCCACACTTGGTGCTGAGATTATCGTCTCTTTCTTATTATCTTTTTTTTTTAGAATAATAGGTCGGCAAACGTGCAGACGGATTACCTGATGGTAAGCAATCAGCGCCGCCCATGGACACTCGCAACGGAGGAGTTACGAGTGCGTTGCCGACCTTTTAGGGATTAGGGATTTGGAGATTTAGGGATTTAGGAGGGATTGGGGGAGGGGAAGGATTGGGCCTCCGGTAACCTCACTCACACGGCGAAACACAACGCTGTGGTTATTTCACGCCGGTTTTCTGTGAGGCCGTGGTATCACTCCGGTCGAGCCGACCCATTCGTGCCGAAGCATGGCTCTCCCACACTTAAACTCTCTCTTTTTCTCAGAACCGTATGCTAGGATGTTTATTAATATCACTACTTGTGAAGTAATTAGTGTTGCCCAAATTCAGTCTTGGTCTTGCAGTCTTGGTCTTGTTCTTGCGTTTTTGCAAGACCAAGACCAAGAACAAGATCGCGTATTTTTAGCAAGACCAAGACCAAGACTGAGCGTGCAAGACTTGCGCAAGAACATGACTTAGCCTGCAAGACTCTTGCGTCTTGCAGCTAGGACTTAGCGCTATTTCACTGAGTAGGTAGTTAGGTGTCACAGTTTGATGTATAGGTAGGTACGCTTAGGAATTCTATGAGACGCAAAAAACTGTATCAAAGAATATGAAAAACTGGACCTATGCGCATTACAACTAATACCATAAACATAGCGAATAAAAAAATATCTATTAAAATCAAACTGAGACCATGCATAGTTATGTTTTAACCATCGGCACTTTGATGACTGCACGGTTGGTGCGGTGGCTGGGCAACTGGCTGCCGTGCAACGTGTCGCGGGTTCGATTCCCGCACGGAACAATTCTTTGTGTGACCCACAAATTGTTGTTCCGGGTCTGGGTGTCATGTGCATGTGAAATTGGATGTTTGTAACCGCACCCACGACACAGGAGAAAATCCTAGTGTGGGGCAAAAAAAAAAAAAAAAACAAAAAAAAACTTTGATAATGCGGCATCAAAGGTTTTGTACTTACTTCTCAAAGAAATTTGCCGCTTTTCGGAAGTACATGGTTACGATACACGCGCCAGCGGCTTCTTTTGAAATCTAAAACAATCGTTGCCGCCACGCCGAAATCATAACATTTGACACTATTTGATTGCCGCCATAGGGCGTAGGTAATATCATGCAAAATAATTTCGAATTTTAAGAGTACCTACAGGTGTTCCAACGAATAAATAAGTTTCAGAGTGTTTAGAATGAAAATGAATACATTATAAGTACTGATCACGCAAGAAGTATTATGATTAGAATAAAATGGTAAGGATAGATAGTAGATGTCATATTAATTCATTCTAGTAAGTATATATTATAATATTGATTACTTATATGGTTTTAAACTAATTACTTAGGTATTATGATTGTACATTTAGTCATTATATTTCTTAAGTTTTTACAAGAAAAAATAACAAAAAAGTGTTTAAATATCACCCGTTTAATAAATGTTGTAGCCACTTTTAAATATAATTGAAACTGCTGAGAGGTTATTTTCTAAAGCATCATTAGTAACTAGAAAACATAGAAATAGGTTAAGTGATGAATCAGCCAGACGGTTACTTTGTATTAATTCTTGGTCAAAAAAATTGATATAAAGTATCATAACCTAATGATAAAGCTGTTGATTTGTGATGTATTTTATTTTTTATTCAAATAAATGAGAGTAGAGATAAATGTTGAGGGTTCAATCTCTTTCTAGACAGATAAGTATTGTTCTTTAAAGAACAGTCAAGTTTTGTTTATGTTTTAGCAAATTTAAGCATATAAATCATAAATGTTTATTAAGAAACAGTTACTTCCATGGAAGACGACATATAGGTCAGTTGTATTTAAATCTTCAGTTATTTATTAATCTGCTTGATCTTTACTATCTCTATGTTAATTCAAGCTCACAATGATCCAATTCTAAAACGGTTTTCTAAGATTTAGAGTATTTAGAGTAATAGACTAATAAGTAATTGCAAGACTTGCAAGACTCTTGCTGCAAGACCAAGACCAAGACCAAGACTGGGAGCGCAAGACCAAGACCAAGACCAAGACCAGGTGTATTGGCGCAAGACCAAGACCAAGACTGGCTAAGTCTCGTCTTGTTCTTGCATTTGGGCAACACTAGAAGTAATACGAATTTTAGGATGTGTGATACGTGTACGAGTATTTTTGAGTAATACTACGTAATAATTAAATGTAAAAAGTTAAATTATATAAAAAGTTATAACGTTGTAGTGGCCCAGAGGTTGTCTAAAGGACCCGCTTCTTATGCATGAGGGTGCAAGTTTGAAACCTGACAAGTATCAGTGTGACTTTTTCCGAGTTATATCTACTTTCTATGATTATTTAGACACTGAAGAAAATCACCGTAAGGAAAGCACAGAGGTTGATGATGATGTGAAAAAGTTAAAATGTATTCTTCTGTCGGTCAGTCCTCTAGTAAAGCTCGTTCCAAAGCGTAGATTCCTTTAGAGATAAACGGGCAAGAAACCTTATGTGAAATAAAGAAAGGAATACATGTGTCTCGAACTCTTTTTGAATTACTCGTTATATACCTATATTATGACTTCATTGAATTCCTCCCAAAAACAAACCAACCACAAAATTCGACCTTCAAAGGCATTGCGTGCTTTTCCGTGCTCCTTCTTAAATGACCAGCAAACTTATGACCCCTCTGATGTTGCGGGTATCAATAACCGATGTTAGTCGCTTACCATCAGATAATCCATCAGTTCCATTGCCTCCTACGCCATGTGAACAGTTAAACTTTTAACCTATTTCCCACGCTGTAATCATAATTTGATTGGTTTATCGCGAATAACGTAATCTATTTAGTAACGCGGTTAACTAAAAACTGGTTAAAGTGTAACAATGATAGTTAACTATGTGAATATTGGGGCGTTAGTCTTTGCGTGAGGTATGAAGGACTGAATTTTTTTTTTATATTTCATGCACAAAACACATTACAATCAAATATTATTAGCTTAAAAACTAAAGATTTTGATCTAGATAGTAACGTAACAATATGTGCATACTGCAAAATCACAAGTATTAAATATTAAAAACGCTCAAAAAGGGACAAAAAGAAACAAGAAGTAAACTAAAAAACATAAAGTGACGTGTGTCAGCACTGGTGCCTCTCACCAAAAATATGGGTTGATCCTTCAGGCACAGTTTCCCGGGCCCGAAGAATCCACACCAGATCGACAATGGAGAATGCCTTTTATATCTGAGATGAATTTATTAATGCTGTAATTAAATATGTCAAAAAGTTTGTGATTGCTCTTTGCCATTTCATTATATTGACGAGCCATCCTGGTCAAAGGGTTATAGAAAGATATATTGTTTTTGTAAATTTGAAATGTTGATAAGACAGGTGAAGTTAGTTATTGAAGTGGCTGGCAAAGACAAGGTCTAGAATTCTATTAGTTATTTAATTCTATAAGAAGTCTCAATGAGTTATGTAACTGTCATTTGTAAAGCAATCATTATTATATCTTGAAAAAGAATAGTCATTTATCATCACAATTTGACTGGAGGGTTGTCTGGGTGGCTTGTAAATGTGAATTTGTATGTTTGTAAATGTAACCAGGAAACAGGAGAAAACCCTAGTCTGGAGAATTGCTTGAAATAAAAACAACAAAAAAGAATGGGATTGTGTGAGGCAACGTTTTTTTTTTCAAATAACTTACTAACTTCAACTAATCACTTCTCAGAGGAATTTAAGATCTTTATTCAAGAGGATTCGAACCCGTAACACGTTGGACGGCAGCCAGTTGCCGTCCAACGTGTCACGGGTTCGATTCTCGATAGAACAACTCTTTGTGTGATTCACAAATTGTTGTTCTGGGTGGGTCTGGGTGTCATATATATGTGAAATTGTATGTTTGTAAACGCGCCCACGACGCAGAAGAAAATCCTAGCGTGGGACAAAGTTTTAAAAAAAAGATGCAGGTTAAAATAATTCTGTCCATAATCAAGTTTCTTCTTTCCAGATTACATCATAAGACTTCACCATGTGGTTCCTCCTACTCCTCCTTCTGCCAGGAGTAAGGTTGCAGGAAGACGATTCTCCTCAAAAGGACAACCCCTACAGACTTCCATATAATTCTGTCCAGTTCGTAGAACACACGGCTTCTAAGTAAGTAGCTCACATTTTTATTTGTTTAAGACTTATGAAAGGGAGAGCCATGCTTCGGCACGAATGGGTCGGCTCGACCGGAGTGATGCCACGGCCTCACGAAAAACCGGCGTGAAACAACTGCAGTGTTGTGTTTCGCCGTGTGAGATAGGTTACCGGACACACAATACCTCTCCCTCCCCCAATTCTAAATATTCGAAATCCTTATCCCTAAAAGGCCGGCAACGCACTCGTAATTCCTTTGGTATTCCGAATGTCCATGGGCAGCGCCGATTGCTTCCCATCAGGTAATAAAATGACTGCACGGTTGGCGCAGTGGCTGGGCAACTGGCTGCTGTACACCGTGTCGTGGGTTCGATTCCCGCACGGAACAACACTTTGTGTGATCCACAAATTGTTGTTTCGGGTCTGGGTGTCATGAGTGTGTGAATTTGTATGTTTGTAAACGCACCCACGACACAGGGGAAAATCTTAGTGTGGGGCGACGTATTTAAAAAAAACCGTCTGCTCGTTTACCGAATACATTTTACATAGATTTATAACGTACTTATTAAATTAAATAATATAAAATCACTTATAGGTAGGGTCAGCATGCTGATATAAATATACGAGTTTTTGTTTTTATAATAACTATCGTGAGACATACTAAATTAACTAAAAATCGCGGGTTAATACGCGACGTCGCCACGTCCGCGCACGCTGCTTATGAGGAAGAACCCCTCTGTGGTTCGAAACTAGTAGAGCTTTTCTCAAAATAGACACGTGAGTAACCCGCGATTTTTAGTTAATACGACTTTTTATAGATACGAGATGTATTGAACATTTTTATGTTTATAGAAGAGAAATATAATTATATAAATTTGTGTTTATACAAAGAGATAATAATTATATTTCAAAATACCTAACTAACATAATTGCAAAACTAGATTACAACAGATAATTTCTAAAATTCCAATCGTGTTTTCATTCATTGTGTTTAGTTAGAATTCGGTGTTAATTTCGAAAATTATACCCAAAATATGAATGTTCAGTTACCACATAATTTCGAATAGGTGTGATTTCGCATGTTCAATACATTTTTGAAAAGCCACAGACTTTAATTAATCAAACTAAAATTATTCACATTACATTTCATTATTAAATTATTACGCCATTTTTTTGTGTCCGATCATCATTACTCCATAATAGAAAACAAAGTCGCTTTCTCTGTCCCTATATCCCTATTTATGTTTAAATCTTTAAAACTATGCACTTGATTTTTGACGATTTTTTAATAGATAGAGTGATTGAAGAGAAAGGTTTATATGTTTAATAACATTTACTAAATAGTGGGGAAATTTGTTATCCACATTACACTCGTGAGGTCATCTCACGAGTGTAATGTGGACAGGATCGTACAGCATCGTAGCCAGGTGCCTAATAAAATAAAAACCTAGGTATTAATTTTACGAAGATAAAATCGCATACCTACTCATTATTTCTTCTAACTTATGTTTACGATATAAAAATGCAAACGCCTGATAACATAATTATTTATACAAATATTCACATTTAATTGTTAATATCATATGCTAAGAATATATTTTATAGCGTATTTGATAGTTACTTCAGATTGTATGTAGGTGGTGTTTACGGTTGAGCGTTCGCAAGAATAAGCTTTGATTTTTGTACAAATAGATTTAAATTATTAAATACTAGCTACTCTCACGTGGTTTCACCCGCTGTTCAGCTCCATTCGATCGTAGCTTGATGTTTTATAGCCTTTAGCACACAGAAACATTGTAACTATCTATCAGTGAAAGAATTTTGGCAATCTCTTTTAGGTGTCTTCAAGGCTAGAGTGAATAGGCTCTTAATAAACTAGTGCGCCTTACCATCAACGATTGCATCACTGCTTAACATCAGGTGGGATCGCAGTCAAGCACTAGCTTATTGAAGGAAAAAAAACCGACCAGTGGTTCCAAAGATTACATACAAACTTAGAAACTTACAAATACCTCTTTATAATATTAGTATAGATTACGGCACCTACTTTTCGCTCAATATAAGACCTATAACAGAAGTAAGTATTACCTAAACCTATTGACATTCACTGATCACTATTCCAAATCAGTGTTTTGCGAAAGCGACAAGAAACAGAATAGCTTTTACTTATTAAGAATACTCTATTTTGCCAAACTAAGGACGGCAAAAAATATGAGGCCAAAAATATGACTACCCTAAAATATTTACAGCTGATTTTTGAATAGTCAGATAAATGTTATCTGAGGAACAAAATTGTTGCTGTCGCTGTCTTATACAAACATTCTGACGCGACAGCATCATAATTATTCCCCAGGTAACTTTTATCTAACCATTGAAAAATCAGCCCAAAGGCACTAAAACTTTAAATCTTCGCATCAAATCAAGGATATAGACAAGCCCTATCAACCTCTCAAAACAAAAGGCATATAGACAAATAGTTTTTATAACAAATTGATGGGAAAATGCTATTCGGTTGTACTAGCATTCATTCAAGGTTTGCAATATTGTGTGGGAATGTGTACGTTGACATATATTTAGGTCTTTGAAAGAAAAACAATAGAATATCGTTATAATCAAACACAGGATGGATTGTGATAAACTGTTGTAGAGAGCCATGTATCTGTTGTGCGAAAAAACATTCTTGTCATCCCGCGGCAACAAAAAGTTGCCGCGAGTTTTCTAAGAGCCTAAATGGTAATAATGGGCGGGATTATTAAAATGTCTTAATGTTAAATATCTCATTTTGGGCGGTAAATTATCCAATGGCTTCTCTCCTACTAGGTGGGGTGAGAGCGAGTGTCGGACTCTTACTGGTTGAAATACATCACGTTACTTCTCCAGCTCCAGGCCTAAGCCGCACTATATTATTGCGCTTGATCCGCAAACGATGAGGATAAGCCCTGTTAGGCTCCACCAGCAGGCCGTGAGCTACCCTTTCTCGCCGTCCACAGACCCGCGTTTATGATGATCGGAGATCATCACGCAATGTTAAATCTCTGGGTTTTCAATTTCTCGGTTGTTCAAAAAGTCCAAACATTTTAGATTTAGGTTGTTTATTTTGTCTGTTTAGTTTATTAAGAGTCAGCAAAGATGGCCTTGGAACTTTGATCTTTTCTTTATATGGTAGGGGGCAAACAAGTGGTAAGTGATCGGCCAATGTGTGACACAATATGTGGCCAATAGGTTACCAATCAAGGGTGTGATTCTATAAGACTTCATTCTAAACTTCGAATCTGAATCCGCCGTGAGTAGTAGTACACTAGCGCTACACTTTCGAGTTGAACTAAATTGACAGCAACATTTTGATAGATAAAGTATGAGATGACGTAAAAATTGGCATTCTAAAATTTTATTTCCCCGTCACTTCGACGCTCACTTCGCACTCGAACAAGATTCAAAATCAAACAAATTTTATAGAATCGACGTGCAGCTCGTTTGCCGACCGACATAGAAAAAATACTGTAAAACAACCAAAATTCAACAAAATGCAACCAATTAAAAATTACTCAGAGAATTCGTTAAAGTTAACCAAGAAATTGTAACATTGAACGTGTAAGGCACTCGTTAGCGTTAACTGGGCAAGTTAAATCCAACAGTTACAAGCATCGGTTCAAACTGCAGTATTGATTTAACATTAGCTAGCTATTATTTTCTTGTATTATCACGTTCGTTCGAACTGGTGAAGTGAGCAAAGTCAGGTCGATTAGTTAGGTCATTTTTTTTCGTTTCGTTTTTTAGTATTCTGTACTCATAATCGACTGCACTGCAACTGAGTTAGCGCAGGTTTGATTCCCATACGGAACAACGATTTGTTAGATATTATGATAATTTGCAGTTCAGTAAAGAAAACTCCAATCGTTCGTTTCAATCGTACACTCTTGTCAGAGTGGACGTGGTCATGTAATCTCCTTGGTGGCTGCCTTTGCGATTTCTCTCCACTTTTTCCTGTTAGTGGCCTTCCTCGCGCACTCCACAATTGAGCTGGATGTCACTAATTTTATAATGTCCGTCCATCTAGCTAGTGACCGACCACGAGGACTCCGATGAGGTAGAAAACTCCGATGCGTGCTCAATATAGGAATGATCTATCCCTTGTGAAATGTAATACTTCTCTAATGAAGAAAAGCTTCTTCGGTGTTGCTCCACAAATATATAACAAAATATACCAATGAAATAAAATGTCTACCATTGCAGAAGTTCAAAAAACGCTTAACGGCTTTTTGCTTGAAAAAGTCCTTGTTTCTAGACAATGTATCTTAGAAATTACTTGTTAATAATTAATTTAACAAGATTAATATGGTTATTCACAATATTTTCTTTTACCCTTGTGTCTTACCCTTAAAACAGTCATATTGGTACTTACCAGGTTTCGCTTGCCCGTCTAAGGGGTTTACCCTTAGACGGGCAAGCGAAAAGACGGATTACCTGATGGTAAGCAATCAGCGCCTCCCATGAACACCCACAACGGAGGATTTGCGAGTCCGTTGCCGACCATTTGGGGATTAGGGTTTTGGAGATTAAGGGATTAGAGAAGGAGCCTTAATCTCCGAGCCTATATGACTATTTAACCATATTGCTATAAAAACTCAAATCACAAAAATCTTTTATTTTTTTCAGAAAAGGTCCAATATTATTTCCAAACGACGCACCACCTCCCCCTCCGACACCGTTGATAGTGACATCAAGACCCCTCATCGAGTCCATAGCTCGCAGCGAACTGAACCCTAACAACAGCATAGCGGCCCAGTCTCAGTACCACCAGGTCCAATTCCGACCTGATTACCTCGCCAGGTCTAGGACTTACAAGCCGTATGCCTACGGTGGACCTTCGACACCTGTGTATGACTACAGACCCCCAAATCTTGGATATATCGTAACTACAGTCAGACCAGACAAGGATAATTACTACAAAGAATATGAGGTATTTGTTTTTCTTTTGTTTTTACATGCATAACTGTGCTCACTAGGAATATAATTGCATTTTTTAGGCTAATGATATAAACAACACGGATCTTTGCAGGCATAATGCATAATGCAATGGTTATATAAAAAAATACCATAATAAAATAATTATATGTTTAATATTCTATACATATAATTATTTATAGAGGGTGAGGGGGGCCAAAGAAAATATGGCTGGATTGTGTGAGAAGCGATATGGAAGACAGAGGAGTTAGTAATAGAGTGACGGGTGACAGGACAGAATGGAAGAAAAAAATATATTGCGCCGACCCCAAATAAGACGGGACAAGGGCGGGAAGATAATGAATGTTCTATACATATAGGTATATAATTAATGAAAAACAATCGCTAAATGTGTTTGTAAGCGTATATCTCAGTAACGCCTAGACCAATTTTGGCAATTCCTTTTTTGATTTGTTTGTTATTGTCAGGAAGAGGTTCTTAAGAGAGTTTTTTTTAAGTATAAGGAGAACTGGATATGAACGACCCTTTCTTTCGTCGTTAGCGAAGTATTAGAATATAGTGTTGGCTACACGGTTGGTGCGGTGACTGGGCAACTGGCTGCCGTGCATCGTCCGCTCAACGTGTCGAGGGTTCGATTCCCGCACGGAACAACTCTTTGTGAGATCCACAAATTGTTGTTCCGGATCTGGATGTCATGTGTATGTGAAATTGTATGTTTGTAACCACACCCACGACACAGGGGAAAATCCTAAGGAAGGACACGTTTTTTAAAAAAAAAAAAGTAGTAAAAAAAATAGTAGTAGTATTTAAAAATTACTGAAATTATTGACTGTAAGTACAAAGTTCACTTACGGACAAAAGTTTTGACTTCCTGTTTCAAAATTATAAAACTAAATCACGAAAATAAAAAACAATATTGCAAAATTTAAAAAGAACATTCTTCTTTGTATGCTACACTTTAAATGCGATGATGTGGTATGATAGATATTTATCACGCGCTTAAGGAGAGCCCGGAGAAGGCATATTATGTTTAGCAGAAGTCGTCGATAAAGATCGTGAGTGTCTTGATTGTCACATCACTATGACATTCGACCTCTATTCGACCCAGCAATGCTGGTATAATTAGCGTCAAACTTTCACATCATATATCTCCAAATTCTAATTCTCCAACCTGCAACAGTAAAAAACAAGTTTTTGGATAAGCGATTCAATACTATCCCAGCATTACACAAAGGTTCCATAGGCCAAAAAAAAACCCCTAAGGTTTGAGTCTACCTCTGTACCAGTACATTGTATTATATAAAACATATTACAACATTATTAATCACAAACTCTTTCAAATAGTTTTCGCAAGGAATTAACTCAAGGAAAGGCGATTTTGATCATGAAGTTAACATGAAGCACATCAAAGATTGGCATACTTCATTGTATAGCAGAGAAACTGAGGATAATGATCAGGTCGCTGATCATAATATCGAAAATCAGAATGAACAAAGCTTAAATGACTTAAATGAAAATGTAAGTCGATATGTATCATATTCATCCCAGTACGTTTTTTCTAAGAAACGAAGGCACAACACTGAAGTTTATACCCGAGACAAAAGTAGTAGGTAATTAAAAGAATTTATGGAGTTTTTAAACGAAGCAATGGCTATTCGTAAAAATATTGCTTCTAAAAAAGAAACTCAAAATCGAAAGCCCTCTCTTTTAGCTCTTTTATCCAACATAGCTCACCAATATAGTATAGCTTGGCAATATATTGAGGTCTACGGTCTCTGAAATGGGAGAAAATAAATATTTTTTTTTTGTTAAGTCTTTTGTAATTAAACTGTATTTACTAACTGCGATATTTTTTTTCTTCTATCACAAAAGATTTTCCGAAAAAAACGTTCAACTTTAATAGAAAATAACAAAAAAGGAATAAATAGAAATTCTGAAAGAACTCAAGCAAAATCTTTGCTTAGTATAGAGAAATTCAATCAAAATGTCAGAGAAATATTTAACACTCCGTCTAAAAATCAAGGAAAACATAGGAATCGCAGATTGAATGAACCATTTAGTCAAGAATTTTTAAGTAGTAGCCAAGAAAAGTCACCTGATGCCAATCTATACTACTCAACTAGTTCACGTACGAAAACTGAGCAAAGTACAGAAGGTCGTCCAAATAATCGTCCATCAGTTAAATTTCGGAAGTTAGAAAATATACAAAAGCATACATCAGATACTAATCAAGCTTACAATGATGAAGTTAGGGCACGTGGACAGAGTAATTTACGTAAAACTAACAAACAATTAAGAAGTGGAGAATGGGAAAGATACAGTGAAGATGAAGCTAATTTACTTAAAAGAAGACCCACACAAAAAGATCAGAATGATCAGTACATTGATAAAGAAGTGAATCCACCGCCGCTGGATGATGACTTGACAGACTTTTTTAGCAACAAACCAAATGAAATAGTCAAAGACAACAAAGCCGGCAAAACTGTTGATAAGGACGTAAATTTAAAATACCCACAGGAAGAAAAACATCATCAGAAAACAGTTTTGAAAAAAAGAGGAAACGACAAAAAGGTTTCATTTTTAGCCCCATGTCACCTTTCCATCGTTTAAATCATTTTCTTCTAGAATTGATATTTCTTGTGTCTAGTCTATTAGTTAGTCACATCTAGTCATCTCTATCGTCTTTATATTGTCACTTTGTCATTATTATTCTTGTAATTTGATCATTAGTGTTGAATGTGTTCTATTATGCCATTTAGATTAAGATAAATACCCTTTTTGAGGGGAAAATACCATCGAATTACTTCTCTATCCCTAGGTAGTGCTAGAGTAACTGTCTGATCCTTACTGTCCAAAAATCCCGGTCCTTTTCTTGTTCTAAGCCTTGCCACAGGACATCGTGCACTTGCTAACACCCTTACGGCAAATACCCTTAAATGGGGTTTTTTTATTTTAGTTTTACAATTACAACTACTTGCTTGACTATATTTCTATAAATTTTTGAATATTAACCTAGCCATCACACAATTATTACAGCTGACTTGTCTGAAGTGAAAAACGAATTACTATTGCAGTCAAAAATATCCTGTTGTATCGCAAAAGTACTGGATTCCTCCTTTTTTCTTTATTATACAAATTACAAAATTACAGAGTATCGATTCGAAATACCTTGATATTATAACAGATCAACAGACCTGTCTATAACTCGTAATTAACCAAAACATCGGTTATAAAGTTTTTCGTCTCATCCAATGTTCTTACTTCTTGTCGCAAATTGTTTGGCCCGCCGGCAAAATGAATCCGTGATATTATTTCTTTGTATTCACTTCCCCAGGCCTGTGATTGATTATAACCTCCATTGTGCCCGTGTTCTAAGGCAGGTGTGTTCGTATGTTCCTCTCGGATAATAATAGCGATCACTGTAAACGCCCCATAGCCTCCGGTTATCGCTGATTAATCTGTTTTACTTATGTTTTCTGTTCACGCATTAGATTGTTTCTTTTTCCTTATTATTAGTTTCATAATTTTCATTATGGTAGAAAGCATATACCTAGTAGATATAGCTTGTGACGGAATATGTTCAAACTTTTCCAGTTTTTGAGACATCTAACATCTAAATTGCAACACATTCCGTAACAGGTCTAAAAATCTTATTAAACATTTACATGTTATAAGTGAACATTCTAAAATTGTCAAACATTTTCAGTATGGAAACGACATTTATCAAGATCAAGAACATAATAGTCCTACTCCTAAAGTGGCCAATAATAAGTACCAGGTTAGTTTTGGGAATACAGTTGATACTTATTAACTGACATGTAAATGAAAATGAATCGACAACGTCAAAATCGAAGCATTTATTTGAATAAACAGCTTGATTGACTTACGCAGTCTGTCGGTTAGTCCTCTTAGTGAAGCTATTTGCTCGTTCCAAAGTTCTTACGCAGAAGAAGATATTTTTACACGAATCCAAAATTTGCTAATCGAACATGTGAATTAGAGAGATTATGTGAATTATTCATTTATCATTCTCTTTTACATTACAGGGTGAATCTCCTGAAATACTTAATTATGATGGCGGACGAGAAAACAGCAAGGAATATAATCATGTAAGTATCTAACTCATGATGTGATGCAGTAATTACCTTTTGTGCTATTCTTTAGAGTCGTTAACCATTTGTATTATGTCGGCAATAACCTGATGGTAAGCAATTAGCACTGCCCATAGATATCCGCAACGGAGTAGTTACTAGAGCGTTGCTGAAATTTTGGGAATTAGGGATTTGGAGATTTAGGGATAAGGGAGGGATTGAGGGAGGGAAGGATTGGCCCTCCGGTAACCTCATTCACACGTCGAAACACAAGGTTATGCCGGTTTTTGGTGAGGCTGTGGTATCACACTGGTCGAGCCGACACATTCATGAATACTTGCTTCTCATAACCTGCATGGTATTAACAATCAATTATATCAATAATAAAACAATTATTAAGGACAAATAAATGTGCTTCTAGCCAGCTAACCAACTCCTATATTTATTTTTCCATAATAAATTGAAGGTCGGCTCTGGAGCATCGTTCATAGAGCATGTTGCGCGTTGCGTTGCATGTTCGTCGTGAATTGTGGGCCGCGTCAACGTTCGCGTATAAACAAACATAAGAGCAATTTATTAACCACACGACACACAGTGCAATGCACTGTATCTCCGTAAATGAGGCTTAAGTATTAACTATATTGTGCAGAATGCCAGTATTTCACTTAGAAAATTATTATGAGTGTCTGCCTGCATTCGATAACCTGGCAGGATCGTAACGATATTCAGAGTTTTGGATAACATTTTCTTTAATTTTGTAAACATGAATGTAAAAATACTTCTTATGTGAAAATAAACTCAAAAATGGATAGGTTTGAGCATTAACCATCGCACTTGCTCAAAGTGGATTGATCATTCCAAGCTTATAATTATACATTAGATTTTTTCACGAAGTCCTAGTTTCTTCATTATTTGTGAGGGCTATCTAATATAAACTCAAAAAATTCATTAAACTCCTAAGTCACATCGGTACTTGCCAGGTTTCAAAGCCTTAACCATAACAAGCAAAAATCTAATATTTTTCATAATTTACAATTTCAGGGTGATAACTACGCCTTCTCCTACACAGTAAAAGACCACAAAACTGGAGATGACTTCTCACATTCCCAACAAAGCACAGGATCAGCCACAAATGGAGAATATAGGGTTCGACTTCCAGATGGACGGATGCAAATAGTTTCTTACACTGCAGATGAGAACGGCTATAAGGCTAAAGTGAGATATGATGAACATACTGGAGCTGATAACAGTATAGATGTGAATGTTAATAAAGGAAATGCGTATCGTCCTCCAACACCAATCACTTTCAAACCTATTGACCACATTTACAATGATAATCTAGATTCCTTTGAGAATGATGATTATGTACGCCAAAGATTCAACGAACAAAAAATACTAAAAACTCCCCTCCCCGTTCAGCAACCCGTATCGTCATACAACACTATCCCACAAAATTTGTACGGACCAAACCAAAATAATTTCCAAATTCACAATGATCTTAGAAGTAAACACGTTTTAGATACAACTAAATATCTCAACAAAGATCGTGTAGATGATTTAACAGATACAAACAATGAATTCCTTAAACATTACCATGAGAAATTTGATGGAAATAATAAATTACACAGAAATAAAGGTGACGACTATAAATTTTCTCAAGAAATATCGGATTATTCGTCAGAATTGGGACATAGTAATCAGCATCATAACAGTAAATTTGCAGACTTTTATGATAATAATGAAGGCGAAGCTAACGGTAAAGTGACACCCACTTACGATGAATTGAAACAACTTTTTGGTCTCGACAGTAATAGTCAACAAAATTCTGTGTCTACAGTTCGGCCTTATGATGAGGTAACTGAGGATGTAGTTGCAATTACTCCTAAGAAACCTAATTTGTATACTAATGTTAATTTGTATAAAAATCCATTAACTGCCACTCCATCTCCTTTCCCTTATTCTCCTTCCCCTACAACTCCTAGTAGTTACTTGTACTCAACGATAGCGAATTTAAAAGAAAGAATTACATTCGGTCACAAACCTGTACTGTCTCATCAGTACTTAAACAAAATAAATAAATATTTGACGTTTAAGTAGTTTGTATGTATATACATAGGTAAAGAAGTATGATGTATATAATTTATTTTTGTATAATATAACTTAGTTCTAATTATGTTGTTTTATTGTTCCTTAATGTTTTGATAAAGACAAAGTCAGAATAGTTAATGTAGAGACCTACCTCTACAAATGCATCATAAACTTCTTATGAAATCAGCACGTCGATTCTATAAAATTTATTTGATTTTGATACTTGTTCGAGTTCGAAGTGAGCGTCGAAGTGACGGGGAAATAAAAATTTAGAATGCCACTTTTAACGTCATCTCATACTTTATCTATCAAAATGTTGCTGTCAATTTAGTTCAACTCGCAAGTGTAGCGCTAATGTACTACTACTCACGGCGGATTCAGATTTGAAGTTTAGAATGAAGTCTTACAGAATCACACCACAGCTATCACATCATCGTTATTATCTGAAGGGTTTTTTCAAGGCCGGATAATCATCAAACTACTTCTTCCATCCTGGATTGGGTCAGAAGGAGTGTCATACTCTTACTTACTGACTAAAAATCACCTCGTTCTTCTACTGCTCTGGGCCGAGGCCGCGGTACCTACATCATTCCGCTGGCCCAAGCAACCCCGGCTGGTTTCCAATGGGATAGATTAAAAATAAATAGGACTGATCTTCACCCAGTGTAATAATAAACCATTTGAATATGGAGATGTAAATAAATTACATCAAACGGACACAGTTATAGAGCCGTGCTACTTACTTAATACTTACAATTCAAAATTATACAGAAACTAAAATTTGGACCCAAGAACAAAAGCCGATACCCGGTAGTCGCGCTTGAAACCACTTGGACCGATTAAAGCTACAAAAGACTTTTTTATGAGTTAGGTCGGCAAGAGAGCAGACAGATTATCTGATGGTAAGCAATCAGCGCCGCCCATGGACACCCGCAACATAGGAGTTGCGAGTGCATTGCCGACCTAATTGGGGAGGGATTAGGAGAGGGGAAGTGTTGGGCCTCCGGTAACGTCACTCACGGAAAAAACGATGTGGTTATTTCAGTGTGTGTGGCCAGTTTTCTGTGAGGCCTTGGTCGAGCCTCAAACAAACACTAGAAGTACAAAATCAAATAACTCAAAAAGAAATTTATGAACCCAGGTATCGACTCAAACATTTTAAACTAATCAGACGCACTTGCCACAAAGTCTCAAAAATGTCCTAATTCTTCAACGAAATGCAAAGGCTCTGGCTACAACATTAACTTCCCTAATGTTAGACATTACGACGGACCTTAGCAAACAGGGGGTAAGCAGTTAAGTAGAGCTCGTTCATCAGTCAGCTAACTTCTAACTTGTACTACAATATGCCTAATAACGGAAATATTTAGAAGTTTTGCGCATACAGACGAATAGACCGACGCACCTTTTATAGAGATAATTTTAACAAAATTATGTAAATATGAATTTTAGATGACAAATTCAAAGCAAAGCATTTATCTATACCAATATCATAAAGAGGTCAGTAAGTTTGTATGTAGGGGTAATTCTTAATAGCTACAATGTTCCTGAGTGCTACAAATTATAATGTTAATTGATTAGCGTGAGCTGCTGTTTTAAAAATCTTGGGATACATACTCGGGATACTTTTATACATGCAAAAAAACGAGGGCGGAAGCTAGTTTCAAATAACCCTAAACTTTGAAACGTGAAAGTTGAATTGTATGTCAGTGCTGCCGCCCATGCAAAAACGGAAGAGTTACGAGTACGTTGCCGACCCTTGAGGGTTTGGGGAGGTATCGAGGAAGGAAAAAGATTGGGCTACCGGTTACCTCACTTACAAGGCAAAATAGAACACTGTGGTTGTCTCACGACGGTTTTCTCTGAGTGAGTGCTATTCTTGACGATATATGTAAACCTTCTAAGCTGAGATCTTGCTAGGGGGAAAGTCTTTGCTCTCAGTCCTACCCACCCGTATGTCCGAAAGGTAGAATTACCTCAAGGCTACGTTGAAGCTTGAACTCAGATAACTGTTGAGTTAACGATGTTACAGTAATTTCAACTTATATTCCTATGTTCAAGTTACTAACTTGCTGTGTTTCTCTAAGCACAAGTATATAAAGTTACTGCCGCGAAAACTGAGCGCTTCAAAACCTAAGTTTCTTAGTTTTAAATAAGTATATGAACTTGTAAAAGTAATGTGAAGTCTTGTTTGGAATTCTGATCAGGTTAAAATAAGAAGTAAAATTCCATATGGCACGCATTTTGATCCCTGCTTGTCACTCTTAAAGAAATGCATCATCCATTTTAAACCATACCTAAACGTGACAGTCTTTTGCTATTCATCATGATAAGCCTATAAGTGTTCACTGCAAAGCCGAGGCTTCCTCTCCCACAGAGCAAGTTTGAGAATTTATGAGTCCAAGTTTCCTCCAACACTACCTTACATGGTAACATTGAGAAAAAAAAAGAAATAATTCTTATAATTATTTGAAGAGTATGTTTTCTCAGTGTTCGGAGCGAGAAGGAACGGGGGGGTTTTTAGTCAGTAAGAATCTGACACTCTCTCTCTCTCGCCTTACCCTGGGCGGGAGAAGTCAATGGATGATTTTCCAAAAAAAAAAAGTTTCCTCACAATGTTTTCCTTCACCGTATGTCAGTGTTGTCTAAAGTAAAATCTAAGAAGAAATACATTGATACTTGTCAGATTACAAACCCGAACCCTCATGCTTGGGAAGCGGGTGATTATTGAGATCATCCGTTTTCAATTCCAGAAATATCGCAATAATTCTTTACTCGACCCACAACCACGAAAAGTTAAAACATCGTCAAAAATGGCAAAAATAAACTCCACCAAATTGATCCAATACCTTTCGTAAGAACTCAAAAGTTTTTACGAAAGCATTCGAGGTGGTACAACGGTTGAATTTAAAACAGAACCAGGCATTCTGCTGGCCCAGCAAAGAGCAAGCTTGAACATAAGAGTAGCAAGTATAGGGGAAGATAAGGCGGTGCGGTCTATACCTAGTCGATTATTGACAACGATTCTTATAGGGATGCGGTGGAGTTGTCGATATTTTTTGTGGTTACATTTTTTGATGAATAAGTTATAATGACTTTTTAAAATTGAGAAAAACATTATTGGTGTGTTGTGTTTAGAATAGGTTAGATAGATTACAAAGGATCTTACTATAACAGATTTTATTAAAACTAATAAGTACTTTTAGTAATGGTCTCATTTTTTTTAAACGTTACCCCACATTAGGCTTTTCTCCTGTGTCGTGGGTGCGGTTACAAACATACAATTTCACATAAACATGACACCCAGACCCGGAACTTGTTGTTCCGGGTCTGGGTGTCATACAATTGACATTTCAATAGTATGTTTGTTTGTGGATCACAAAAAGAGTTGTTCCGTGCGGGAATCGAACCCGCGACACGTTGCACGGTAGCCAGTTGCCCAGCCACCGCACCAACCGTGCAGCAGAAAATGAGAAATAAAATTGACAAATCTCATGAAAGACGACAAATTCATTTCCTACCGGTGTTATACCACTTCTGTTTATTTATTTCGCACAATAGAAATAATGTGTTTAATGATTGTATTGCGAACTTATTATTTAAAAGTCTCATTCCTACTTTAACCACGGCCTCTAATCATCAACAAAACATTACCTAAAATCTTTAAATAAAAACAACAAACTCCCATCACTAAAAATTAAATCGGCACATAAAACTAATATCTTAACCTAAAATCACAGTCACGTTCGTTATCGATGAAAATTATCGATAATTGGCGCATCACTGGGCCAGTAGTGCATGGTTCGTTCAGCTGAGTCGGGCTTGGCATCACGCCAAAGATGCTCCAACACTACCTTACATGGTAACATTGAGAAAAAAAAAGAAATAATTATAAGGAGTATGTTTTCTTAGTGTTCGGAGCGAAAAAAAGGGGTAGGTACGTAACACGATTTTGTACTTTATATTACTTTCTTTTGAAAAATGTTGTCATCGAATTGGTCGATTCTTTTTCTTTTTGGCTAAGCCTTATGGCACAACAGTATGAAGGGTATTTTTGTTCTATCTCGTTTGTGTTTCTTATGTGGATGAATACGCTTGGAAAACTTAGACTTGTCCGTTTTCGTAGTACACAATCCCGAAGGTAGAACATTTTTAACCGCCGACGCAAAAAGCGACGACGAGTGACGAAAGTGACGTGTCTGTCTGTCTGTCTGTCTGTGGCATCATAGCTCCTGAACGAATGAACCAAACTAAATTCAATTTAGTTTTTTTTTTGTATTACAGGTGTTTTACGGGCGAGTGTTCTTAGACATGTTTGATGAAAATCGATTGAGCCTTTTAAATTTTATTTCAGGGCAGACAGATATTACCAATAAAGTGCTTACTGGTACATAGGGAACCTTTTCCATTACAATAGAAACTAAATCTGATGTCAAAAATTTTCGACAATTTCAGTCTGTACTGTTAAAGAGACAGTACTGAGTGAAATTGTCGATTAACTAAAATTCGCGGGTTACTCACGTGTAAATGTTGAGAAAAGCTCTACTAGTTTCGAACCACAGAGGGGTTCTTCCTCATGAGCAGCGTGCGCGGACGCGGCGACGTCGCGCAGCCTACTGTATTCTCAACATTTACACGTGAGTAACCCGCGAATTTTAGTTAATTTAGTATGTCTCACGATAGTTATTATAAAAACATGTAATTGTCGATATTAATACTTGATACTACGACAACAGGAAATCCAAGAAGTCATTATGACCAATGTGATATTTTCGAGTTATGATATGTACTTTCTATGGTTATTTAGACACCACTGGCAACGATGAAGGAAAACATCGTGAAACCTTATAATTTTTAAGTATAGATAAGTTTGAAATCGCCAATCCGTCTTGAGCAAGTTCGGTAATTAATGATTAAACCTTTTTCGTGTGAGGAGAGGCCTTTGCTCAGCAGTGGCCTTTGCTCTTATAGGCTCATTATAATGATGACAACAGATGTTGCAACGGTTTTGAGAGATTGAGGTTTTTTTATAAAAAGATACCTACTGTGATAAAAAGACCCTTGCATTAGTCGTTGGTGAAAAAGCGCCCGTTGCACTTTGGTGGATTGCACCTGTAACAAATATTATATAGCAACAAGGCAGTCAATATTAATTACATTAATAATAACGATCACAATAGTTAAATGAGGTTCGTAATTAGTGTGTACACTAGAAACTTAATTGCATTACTGTTAATTAAGTAATCATTCGTTAATTAAGGTTTCGGCTATGAACTTTCACGATTGCTACAATATTACTACTGTAAATGTTAAGTTTATAGTAATTTTAGTGTGTTCGATTTAGCTCTTATGGCCGACTCGAACGGAATGATACCACGGCCTCACATAAAACCGGCGTGAAACAAACGCAGTGTTTGTGCTGTGTGAGTGAGGTTACTGATGGTCCAATCCTTCTCCTCCCCCAATCCCTACCCAAACCCTAAATCCCCGAAACCCTAATCCCCAAAAAGTCAGCAACACACTCGTAACTCTTCCATTGTTTCGGGTGTCCATGGGCGGAGCTGATTGCTTACCATCAGGTAATCCGTATGCTCGTTTGCCGACCTATCACATAAAAAACCATAATTATTAGATACTACAACGACAGAGAATCGAAGAAGTCTTCATGACCAAGTTATATGTACTTTCTAGTTATTTAGACACCACTAAAATTAGGTGGAGGAAAATATCATGGGGAAGCTAAACCAACCGACGTGAAACAACGAATGACGGCTTAAAAGTTGTATATGTGCTGGCATCATCATCTGGTGTTAGGAGTATTTATAGGTGATGCCGAATGCTTGCCGTGAAGTGATCCGTTAGTAAGTATATAAAGTAACTTGTGTACATGATAAATATAATATAGGGAATACCATTATTCTGTTTTTCGAGTAAAACAGTATAGTATCTAAATAGCTTGTGTACGTTATAAATATCATGACTTATACCGTTTATCTATGCTTGATTAAAAAAAATTAAAACTCCGTTATGGTTCGAATTTTATTTACCAACTGAAAATGTCAAACGAAATTCAATACTTATATGTATAGGTAGTACGGCGCGTAGCGTTCCGCGTGCGCCTCAAAGAGCCAATAGACCACAACAGATGGGGCCCTATAGGGCTGACGTTCAACCGTGGTTGCGGGGTAAGCGCAATGAGGCACCACGGGCTCGGCCCAGAGCAGGAGAAGGAACAGGGGGGTTTTTAGTCAGTAAGAGTCTAACACTCCCTTCCGCCCGGCCTCGGGCGGGAGAAGTCATTTGATGATTTTCCCCTCACAAAAAAAATGTATAGGTAGAGATTTTGGAATCGGGCCAGTTTTGCCTGGGAGGGTATGATATAATCAAGTAAGGTATAACCGAAGCAAAACACATTTAGTAGATAACGACCAATATTGCCAAATACCGACCCGCCCCAGCTTTGCACGGGGTTTTTTTTCTCCATCAGCCTATAAGTGCTTACTGCTGAGCAAAGGCCTCTTCTCACACAGAGAAGGTAGCATTAATCACCACGCTAGCTCAAAGCGATTGAAGATTTGAAATTATAGGTCCAGGTTTCCTCACGATGTTTTCCTTGACCGTATTTCAGTGGTGTCTAAATAATCATAGAGAGTACATACAACTGGGAAAAAGTCACATTGTGATACTTGCCAGATTAATTTACACACTCATGCATGAGAAGCGGGTCTTAACCTCTGGGCCACCAAGACTAGTAGATGTTATCTATACTAATATTATAAAGAGGTAAAATTTGTAAGTTTGTATGTAGGGAGTAATCTTTGGAACCGCTGGTCGGATTGCCAATTCTTTTACTGATATATAGCTACAATGTTCCTGATTGCTATAGGCTATAAAACATCACGCTAGGATTAAATGAAGCCGAGCACCGGGTGAAACCGCGCGACAGTAGCTAGTTATACAATACACATATTTATAATAGGTTAAATCACTTTGTCTATTAAAAAAACCGCATAAAAGTCGTTGTGTAGCCTCCAAGATTCAAGCATACATAATGATATTGGAACAGAGAAAGCGACTTTTTGTACTATATAGGTTGTGATAAACAGAATTATATTTTTTGGAAATTATGGTCTAATTTTCCAGTAAGAGTGCTTAGTTCAATAATTACAGTCCGAAATACAATTAATTCGTAAAATTGTAAGAAACAAGCACTTCTTAAAACAATGAAACACAAAACGGCCACAATTCAGTTCATTTCTTAAATGGAAAACACAGTTACTGCTACTTGAGACATTGTAGGCATAAAGCAGAAGTATCACAGAGAAGAAATATTTTAGAATCACTCTTATTTTTTATGACAGATATAGATTTTGCCGCTGGTGGACACCTGTACCTAACTTCAGAGTCACAAATGGGTTACCAGAATACACATAACTACTTTTTTGCAGGGGCAAAATCATCTACCTGACAATATGGTGCTTTTGTTCGAATAAGAGTAGTAAAAGGACCCAAGTCGTAGAGGGAAGAGTGTCTCCGTGTGAGAGGCCTCTTCTTACACGGAGAAGGTTTGAGCATTAATCACCACGCTTGCTTAAAGTGAATTGGCGATTTTAAACTTATAAGTCCAGGTTTCCTCACGATGTTTTCCGTTACCGTATGTTATTTGTGTCCAAATAATCATCATAGAAAGTACGTATGTATAACTCGGAAAAAGTCACATTGGTACTTGTCAGGTTTCTATCCCGCACCCTCAAGCATGAGAAGTGAGCCTCCGGGCCACCGCGACCTACTTAACCTCCGGCCCACCACGACCTAAAATACTTTGTTATTTAACATTTACAAAGTGGACCTTCTATTATTCAACTTCAACGTGGCGTGCATTACTGAAATTAGTACTTTTGTTTTATTATATTAAAGCTAATTATTATTTCTGGCAGAATGTTTGCATACTGTAGGCAGTGCTGTTATATAATGGTGATTAAGAACCCCACTCCTTCCCTAAATGGGGGGGAAAGAAATACGAAAACTTTTCTTTGCGTATAAGATAATGTTTATTGGGAAACAACCGTATATGTTGACGGCTTATCATAGATTTGATTGTATGTAATTACCTACATCTTAATAACATCAAGTCTGCTAGTCTTAAGAAGTTTTATTTAAGGAGATCGCATGTGTATTTATAATACAGCTTTAGCCGCCATTAATAAGAATGAGCCTGGTAAAATACAACGCAAAATTGGTAACCTTGTAGGTACCTACTTATTGTAAAATTTTACGTCTAAGAATCTTTAATATCTGAGCTTGATGTAAATAGTGTCTTTGAGCAAATAGGTCGGCAAACCTGCAGGCGGGTTACATGATAGTAAGCGTTCGGCGCCACCCATGGAGTTACGAGCGCGTTGCCGGCAATCTCTGCTGCGTTGCAATCATCTTTTGGGGATTAGGGTTTTGGATATTTAAGAATTGGGGAGGGAAGGGGAAAGGAAAGGATCTAACTAAACTCACACACACGGCGTTGTAAGATTAAAAAAATACGTACCTATTCTCTATACGAATAATACCCATCTGTTTAATCCCTAACCAAAATTTAAACACCCTTCGACCTCCTAAACGTTCATAAAATCACAAAGTAAAAAAATGAACATTTTCTGATAAAACTTTCAAAGTATTTAATAAGCAGTTTCGTGTAAAACAAAAACAGCGTTTTGTAATAAGGTTGTCGATAAGCTCTGTAGTGAAGGGCAAAACAGACGATTCCGATGCGACGCTCTCGCTATAGACGCATCGATGATGAGAGTGCTAGTGTTGGGAGTTGGGACATTTTAAAATGTTTATCGATACATTTAATTTTGTGAAATATTTAGTTTTTATAGATAAAATCACCGTTAAAGTCCATTATTACAAGTTAGATCTTTCAATAATGGTGGTCACGGTAATACTTTTTAAGTATAACATTTTATATTTGATAGTTTGTGTTAGGTTAGATAAATGCAAATAGAAAATTTCAACGTATTACCTACATTTCTTATTTAGACAACCCAAAAATTAGAAAGGGGAAAAAGTCTATACCAGGCGATTTTTGGTCCATTTACACCTTTTTTAAAAATTATACTTCATTAAAAAATTATAAGATTTTATCACATTTAGAACTACAAAACAAACGAATAAACCAGAAAACGCTTCACATTATAATCGAAACCTGATTTAAAATTACAATCCACCATTCCGGCCAAACGTCGAACATAACCGCGTTAAACAATCCAAAATCAATTATGTCTCAATTATCTATCGATATGTCGCATCTCTATTCGGTGGGGAAAACACTCTACAAATAAGCGAGCACAGACGGGCGCAGTTTGCATAATTGCCGCGTCGGGTGCCACCTCTATTTAGGGTTGATATCTAACTAATGTCATACATGTGTGTTTGAATATTTCAACGGTTCCAACGACCGAATTTTGAGGTTAGAAAGTTTTTGAATTTCGAATGGAATTGTTGTTTCGATAATTTGTTATATGAGGCAGTGATTTTTCTTTGATAACAATTTTAAAATGTCTTTATTTTATAACTAAATCATTTCTGTTAACTTCCGATTGGTTAAAAATTTAAAGCCGTTTGACATTGACAAAATGTAACACAAAGCCTTTTAGGTAGCCAAGGTTTTGGGTCGAGCGCAACCTCGGCCTGGAGCAGGAGAAGGACCGATGCAGTTTTTAGTCAGCAAGAGTCTGACATTCTCTTACTAGGTGAGTGGAGACAACTGACTGATGATGTCTCCTTGAAAAAAAAGTGTCGCCCTAATTTCTATGACTTATATGGGACATATGTACCACAAAACTAGTCCAGACCGCATGTTAAAGTGCAATAAGAAATTCACATAACCTTTTATTCAACTCAAGCTCTCAAGGTCACCAGTCATATTTACTACCATTAGAGAACGTAAACAAGAATCTATCGAATCATACAAATAATATGTATCAGAAAAAAAATCTTTGCTTAAAAAAGAAACTCTATTTTCAAAAAACTAAAATATTATTCCTGATTGGAGTGCCAACCCTAATCCAGGGTTGACTTCAACTCTTTTGTTTTCGTAACAACTATTAGGTTGACTACAGTAACTACTGAATTTGTTTACATTACATCGAGAGACAAGTCAATTAATGGACTGAGCGCCGATTATTTAATTAACTCAAGTCGATAGCAACGGTAGTCGAATGTCACAACTTTGAATGCTTTTGGTCCTAGATTTGTTTGGTTTGGCAAAATTAGCATTATGCTAATTATTTTGTGTGTTGTGTTCATCATCATCAGCCTATAAGTGTCCACTGCTGAGCAAAGGCTTCCCCTTGCACGGAGAAGGTTTGAGCATTAATCACCACGCTCGCTCAAGTCGAATTGACGATTTCAAGCTTATAATTAGAAATTATACTTAGGTCCAGTTTTCCACAAGATGTTTTCCTTCACGTGTGTGTATGTCAGTGGTGTCCAAATAGTCATAGAAAGTATCTACATAGGTAATAACTCGGCAAAAGTCATTTTGTACTAGTGTCGAACCCTCTTGCATGGGAAGCTGGCGCCATAGCTTTTCTGGAGAATTCTTAATCTATTGTGGTTACAATTTATTCCTTCTTAATAAAGTTATTACTTATTAATCATGTCAGTAAAGTGTAAATAATCCCATTCCCACCTGGGAACATTCAGGAACGGGAAATTTATTTGAGTCATTACCATATCCCAAATCATCAGCCTATAGCGCTTTACTGATTTACTGAGTACAGGTATTTACTCACCCAGAGAAAGCTTGAATTTTGACCGTTACTATTAAAAAAGAGAAAAAATTTATTCGAGACAAATAAAGAACTTCCAAAACACCCTTCCTGTTAATTTCAGCAACAAAAGCGTTAATTATTGGTTCCGATCTTGACAAACGGATTGGCGCCTAATTGCAGGATAACCAACAAATTGATACACAGTTAATTTGGATGGAATTTGTTTGAACGATGAAAGACGCTTCATTTTCAACTCCCAGTTAAAATGAACCAGGCAATTTTTGAATACCCGTGTTATTGGTGGCGGTAGGTTCCTACCTACCTATAGCCAATTATTTTCGGGTAGCATTTGGCCACGGAGGCTTTAATTGACTTGTGAAGTCTATGTCTTGTATATCTCGAATTTAACAAAATATTTTACTTTTATTATGAGTTAAGAATACAATAATTATGATTATAACTAATGTACTAACAATATAACATAGAATTAATTATGAATGAAAATAATATATTTATGAAAAATTAAAATAGTTTCTAGTTTACGGAGTAACTAGTAGAACAGAGAATTAAGTGTGGGAGAGCCAAGCCTCGGCACAAATCAGTCGGCCCGACTGGAGTGATAGCACGGCCTAACAGAAAACCGGCGCAAAAATAACTACAGCGTTGTGGTTCGCCGTGTGCATGTGAGTGAGGTTACCGGAGGCCCAATCTCTGCCCCTCCCCCCATCCCTTCCCAATCCCTAAATCCCCAAATCCCTAAAGGGCTTTTTTTGTGAGGGGAAAATCATCAAATGACTTCTCCCGCCCAGGGCCGGCCCCCTGTTCCTTCTCCTGTTCTCGGCCCAGGTCGCGGTGCCTCATTGCGCTTACCCCGCAACCCCGGCTGAACGTCAGGCCTATAGGGCCCCGTCTGTGGTGGTCTATTGGCTCTTTGAGGCGCGCGCGGAACGCTACGCGCCGTACGCTCGGGCCTGGTTCTGGTCGGGCGGCGAGCTGCCCTTGCTTGCCGACCGCAGACCCGCGCTTACGGTGGCCGGAGATCGTCTCTCGATCCCCGACGCCCGGAATGTCGCCTGTTGCGGCAGCTGGGGCGTGAGGAGGAGGATTGCTCCCTCACGCGGGCCGCTCTTTGCGAGCATAACTGCTTCACAGAGGGAGGAGACGGCGTCCCAGTTCCTCTCACTCTGCACCATGGCCTCGACTAAGGCCGGGCGCGAGAGGTCGCCGCCGCCGATCACTTCCCTGAGGACACGGGGGTGCTCAGCCCCGGCAGGGCATACCGCCACCGTATGCTCCACCGTATCCTTAATATGGTCCTGGCAATGACGACACTCGGGCGTTTCCTCCCGCTGGATCCGAAACAGGAACCTACCGAAGCTGCCGTGCCCGGAAACTTGCGTCAGGCGGAAGGTGAGGACGCCGTGGCGTCTCTCAAGCCACTCCTCAAAGAGGGGTCTTACCGCTGCTACAATAGCGTGCCCGGCCCTCGGTTGCGACAGTCGTTGTTTCCCCTCTGCCATGAGATCTCGCCGGAGCTCATTCCGCCACGCCCTAATTTGGCGCGGCAGAGGATCCTCGCCCCGGCGACGCGCGTCTGCGCGCAAACTGTAGACGCGCGTAAGCGCCTTCGCTTCCAGATCCCACGGCGGTGATCCGGCAAGGAGGTTCGCCGCCTCACCGGAGATCGTGCGATATCCGCGGATTATCCGGATAAATCCCTAAAGGGCTGGCAACACACTCGTAAATCTCCTTTGGTGTTGCGAGTGTCCATGGGCGGCGCCGATTGCTTAACATCAGGAAACGAGTCTGCTCGTTTGCCAACCAATCTTAAAAAATACTATAAATTAAATCTTATGAGAAATAATTACTAAAATAAATTGAATACTAAATTAATATAAAGTATTTGACCATCTGTCTTAAAACTAAATTTAATTTATTTGCATGTTACTTCTATAAATTTCAATTTAGATGGCAAGTTAAATTATAATTTCGAGATAATAATATGCAATTATTTTATTAATACGTAATTTCTTGACGAATCGTAAAACATCAATCATTCAATGACAGCTGGACGGATGAGGTTAATGTTAATCTGTCAAAGTTGTAAACAAAACAAACGTGTGCTGTGATTTTAATTACATATTTTAATTATAACTGGTGATCAAAGCATATAACACAACAAAATCAAGTGTAATGTGAATAATGTGTAACAGTAATTACGTATATTATGATGAATAACTACCAACCATACCCTCTAAAACTTTATATACAAGACCTATTTCGCGCCAAAAACACAGAGAACAAATACATTTACGAAATATTTGGGCTTACATTCAAGAATATCATGATACACGGTGTAATTACATCTATTTACAATACAACAAACATTACAACGAATATAGAAGTCTCCGACGCTACGGGCTCTGTTCAAATTTATTATGATAGCACAAAAAGTAATATAAATACATCACCGGCCATTTTGAAAGATTTATATCACGGTTTTTCTGAAGCGACGAGAACAGGCAATGATAACGTTCACATTATGTCTACTTTGTTGGACCGTATAACGAAAAATCCATTTAATTTTACTGAAGGCGATTATTTAAGTGTCGTTGGAGATATATTTTTAGATGATAAAAGTGTACGAATGGTTTCAGCTTTCGAATGTTTAAAAACTTCAGTAGAAAGAGATATTGTGTGGATGGAAGAGTTAAAATACATTTATGAAAAATTTTATCTCTCTAATAACAACAAATGATAATAATACATTTTCAAATTAAATCGTATTATATGTTACCTTTATGACTTTCATTTAATATTATAAAATACAACCTAATAAGAATTTAAAAGTCAAATAACTTTTAGCATGTAATGGAACGTTCTGCATCAAAATCAAATCAAAAAGAATACATAAACTAAAGGCTAAAAATAATTCGTAAAAAATCGTTCTCTTCTCGTTTTGCAAATACAAGTAATTAGTTATAAATACGATTGTTTTACTGCACCTCTAGCTCAAATAATATTCTGTACCTAGACCTAGTTATCGTGCTATCAGCTGTCAAACAGTACAAGTATTTTTCTTTACCCGTTCTTCTGTCATGTTGTCATTCATTCGCTGTCAGTTGACTTCAGCTGTCGGTTCCTCTAGGATTCGGCAAAATCTAGCCGATTTCAAAAGTATTTACCCAAAATTTACGAGAACAATGTAAGTGGCAAAACATTTTACTATTTCTAAGTGTTTCTAAATTTTAATTTTACAATCTGTGCATAGAATTCTAATGTTAAAAATGTTAGGTTATATTCTTATAAGCACTAAGTAAATACTGATTTTTATGTTATTAGAACGATGGCCAGTGAAGGAATTTCGCCGCAGGAGATCGAGGCTCTTTGCCAAACCCCCGACCCTTCAACTAGGGTAAGTTTTTTTCTCATAACTATGTAAGTAAGTTTAGTACGATGTTATCGTAAATGACTTGAAATTGGTAGCTGATAAATAGGTACTTGAATGATAAGTACCGCACCATCATCAATCAACATTCAAATACGGAATGAGATTTGGTTTGTTATTACACAATGAGGTTTTAATTGTTATTTAAGTAGTTTTGTCAAGTTTATTTCAATAAATTCTAAATATACAGAATACTTTGCTAGTAATTTTTTGTAGATATTGGAATAACTTGTAACTGAGTTTTAATGCTAACTCTTTCCAACCACATCAATGTAAGTTTTGACTTACAAGACCCTAAGACTACCCACTGATCCACTCGTATATTCAAAATGCATTCCTATTAGTATTAATTCTAATCAACCCTTTTTAACCCCATTTACAATTATAACAAGGTAACAAAAAATATGTGTATTTTCTGGCATACTATCCATGAAAATCAAGAACAAATTAAATATTTATAGTGCCCTTCATTATTTATTTATTCTGAGAAATGAGTTCTACAATATACCAGGTGTCTCCAAGGTTAATATTATAATAAAACTTAAAACCCAGTAACTTTAAATAGTCAATTTATTTAATGAGATTTCTACCTATAAATATTTTGAACTAGTATAAAACAAAGTCGCTTTCTCTGTGCCTATATCCCTATGTATGCTTAAATCTTAGAGCAAATTATTTGAATGCAGACAAAGGTTTAAATTTTCTTTTTTTAGATCTTCTGCAGGGTTAGAATTTGTGGACTGAAAGATTGTGGATGAGACAGTATGGTTCGGCCTATCTAGCGGTAACTTGTCTTTCAACTTAAGAGTTTATGTTAAAAAAATAATAAATTGTCTCATTTATATTATTATTAAATTAATTACGAAAAAATATTAGATGTCATGTAATAATTACTTCATTTTGTTATCACATCTTGGCCTCTGACATTTTTTAGTAGTTATCATATTAATCTTGAGTTACACAATAACCAATTATTATGACCACGTGAGATACTGTCATAGTTTTTTAATATGTAAAATTTTTTTAATTGGTGAGTTTGTTAAGATATTAAATGTATATTACTTGCTACTCTCGCGCGGTTTCACCCGCTGCTCAGCTCCATTTTAGCGTAATGTTTTATAGCCATGGCACTCAGGAACAATGTAGCTATCTATCAATGAAAGAATTTTGGCGGTTCCAAAGATGACCCCCTACATACAAACTTACAAATTTTACCTCTTCATAATATTAGTATAGATATAAAATAAATATAATTTATAGAATTTAAATTATAGAAGAATAAAATATAATAAATTCTATAATTTTAATAAAAATTATGCCTTTTGAAGAAAAAAAAGTTTAGGTTCATATCACAAATCGACAAGTTCGGTTCTGCAGACGACAACCAAGGATAACTTGCTACCCGCCCATCCCGATCCAGTCCCAAACGTACAGCGCTTAGCGTTCTGCATGCATCTTAGAAAGTAATCAGACCATCACAGATTGGGCCCTACTAGATCTGATCTCCAGCCAGGGTTGCGGGTGCAAGCTCCATAATATATATTTTTTTTTTTTTTTTTTAGTTATACTGCAATCTCGGCCTGGACCAAGAGAATACTGTTGAATTAATTAGTTTCGTTCATTCCCAGTAATCCTTACTGGTAAACAGTAAAATGAATTTGTTTGTTTTTCTCTCATCTACATCTATACTAATATTATAAAGAGGTAAAATTTTGTAAGTTTGTATGTAGGGGTAATCTTTGGAACTGCTGGTCGGATTTCTAAAATTCTTTCACTGATACATAGCTACAATATTCATGAGTGCTATAGGCTATAAAACATCACTCTACGATTAAATGGAGCCGATCAGCGGGTGAAACCGCGCGAAAGTAGCTAGTAATTAATATGAAACCTGAAGAATAGGTACAATTTTAACTTGGATTATGCTGACAAAGCCAAACTAATAGTCTGTCATCATAATTTAGCTATAATATTTAGCATAGAAAATATTTTAAAATTAAATTTAATTATCTGTTTGTTGCGGGTACTTGCCTAATCTAGCAATCCACTATTGAATAGATGTCATTGTAAGTACATATAAACCTTCCTCTTCAATCACCCTCTCTATTAAAAAGCCGCATCAAAATCCGTTGCGTAGTTTTAAAGATTTAAGCATACATAGGGATATAGGAACAGAGAAAGCGACTTTATTTTATTCTAGTACTGGGTAGTTGAACTCAAGTTAGTATAAGATTTTTTTAGTCCAGCTACTTACCGTAGTTTACTTAATATAGGGTTACCAGATGAAAAAATCAAAAGACCGGAGAAATAGCCCGATTTGTATAAAAATGGCCTGAGATTTTATACTTAAGGTAGTAGTTAAAATCTACACTTATTTACCCAATAAGTGTAGATTTTAACTGCATATTTTACAAAAAGAGGAAAGAAAGAAGAAAAAAAGAAAATTAAATTTATTTTGCTTCACGTCAAACATTGCGTTTAGTTCGTTTTACTTGGATAAATAAGTAGGTATAGATTTTTACTGCAATAATTGTTACCAAAAAGATTGTTTTTAGTCGGTTTAAGTTTTAATTAAAGTGATCTTTCAACTGTAACCTGTTTTATTGAAAATCCTGAGATTTAACGATATTTGCAAAATCCGGCCGCAATCCTGTGAGAAGTCGAAAAATCCTAAAATCACAGGACAAATCCTAAGATATGGTAACCCTAACTTAATATAAACATATTTAACTAAATACAAAATAAACATCGTGGTGGTGGTTAGGTTAAGGAGCCCACTTCTCATGCATGAGGGTGTGAGTTCAAAACCTGGCAAGTACCAATGTGATTTTTTCCGAGTTATATGTACTTTGTATGATTATTTAGACACTACTGGCATACGGTGAAGGAAAACATTGTGAGGAAACCTGGGCTTATAATTTCTAATTATAAGTTTGAAATTACCAACCCGCATTGAGCAAGCGTGATGATTAATGCTCTAACCTTCTCCCTATGAGAAGAGGCCTTTGCTCAGCAGTGAGCGCTTATAGGCTGATGATTATGAACTAAATACAATAGTTTTAATGGCCGTAAAACTATGTTATGCCTGTTATAAGAAATTATCTATTATTTGTTACGCATATCCTACTATCCTACTACTATTATTAAAGGCGAAAGTTTGTAAGTATGGATGTATGGATGTTTGTTACTCTTTCACGTAAAAACTACTGAATGGATTTGAATAAAACTTTACCACAATATAGCTTATACATCAGAATAACACATAGGCTACAATTTTTGAGGTTTCTAATGTGAGGTCGTAAATAAACACATTTTTTGCGCTTACGTTTCCAAAGCGAAGGATCTGCATGTTTATGCTGAAGGTCGTTAAATGTAGTTTATAGGAGCATACTGCAGTAGCTACCTATAGACCTATGATTAGGGCTCTGCAGTGCTTAGTTACCGTATTTCTTACTTATTACTAGACTAGAAGGGACGAACCTGAAGTCCACGCGAACGAAGTCGCGGGTAAAAGCTAGTATATCAAATCTATAATTTTGAATACCGAAATTTTAAGTCAATATTTATAAATGTAATAACCATAGTCTGAGCCAGTAAATATATTCTTCTGTGAAAGCAAATGTATAACAAAAGATATTGTTACAATGGGATTTAAAATAGTCAAGATAACCTGTTGATAAAAGATGTATTGTACACTGTAATGTTATGCTTATGCATATATTAACCTTATATTCAAGTAGCTAGCTAACTTGCACAGCTATTGTTAATATAAGTTATATTTAAAACATTAAACACATATACAATACATGTCATATGAATAAAAGGCTTTGATTTTTTTATGTGATAGACTGGCAAACGGGCAGACGGATTACCTGATGTTAAGCAATCAGCGCCGCCCATGGACACCCGTAACAGAGGAGTTACGAGTGTCTTGCCGATCTTTTGGGGATTAGGAAATTTGGAGATTTAGGGATTGGGGGAGGGGAAGGATTGGGTATCCGGTAACCTCACTCATACGGCGAAACCCAACGCTGTGGTTGTTTCACGCCGGTTTTGTGTAGGGCCGTGGTATCACTCTAGGGCCGTGGTATCACTCCCGTCGTTTTACTGTGCTATGGTTGTGTTTACAAAGAAATACAATTCACCCCAATAAAATAATGTTCTTTAGAAATTTGGCTAGTACTGAAACTGAACATCAACGCCGTGGTCCTAAGTGCCCAAGTTACTGTATTTTATCTGCATACCGGTCTTGATTTATTTAATTTTGTGCACAAAGTACATAGGTGGGCTTGGGTGGCATTGTAAATTGAGTATATTATCACAAAAAAAAGGAAAAAGCAATTAGTTAAAATGCATAAGACCTTTTCACAAAGTGGAATGCTTTGGCCATACTAACGGAAAATGCAAATAATTTTCGCGATAATTGATATAAAAAAATGAAAAATATACCTTAAATCATTTGTTTAGTGATCAAAATCCACCGACGATTAACTTACATTATCGCGATTAATAATGGCATTTCCCGTTAGTGTGGCCGAAGCATAAGGCGTTTTTTTTTGTGAGGGGAGAATCATTAAATTACTTCTCCCGCCCAGGCCCGGGCGGGAGGGAGTGTCAGACTCTTACTGACTAAAAACCCCCCTGTTCCTTCTCCTGCTCTAGGCCGAGGTCGCGGTGCCTCATTGCGCTTACCCCGCAACCCGGCTGAACATCAGCCCTTTAGGGCCCCGTCTGTGGTGGTCTATTGGCTCTTTGAGGCGCGCGCGGAACGCTACGCGCCGTACGCTCGCACAATTGCACATTGTGCGAAAACTGTTTATAAATAAATAAATAATATATGTACTTAAACAAAGCCCTAAAAACTTCCAGGACTTCATGTTCCAACAAACGATGTACCGCATCAAGGACCCTCGCAAGTCCATCCCTTTCTACACCGGAGTGCTTGGTATGAGTCTTCTCAAGCAGCTCCACTTCCCAGAGATGAAATTCTCACTTTTCTTCATGGGGTATGAGAACCCTGCTGAGATTCCATCCGATGAGGCCACCAGAACAGCTTGGGCCATGACCAGGAAGGCTACTTTGGAGTTGACATAGTAAGTATGATAAATATATGAATAGAGAAAAAAGACACTTAAATGACGTAAGCATAAGACGATATTTCTTTCTCCAAAAGGAACTGAAACAACCTTTCTTTCTAACTTGGCTAACAAATGACACTCGCGGGAAAAGGGGGAATATTTTTTCCTATGAGTTAGGACGGCAAACGAGCAGACGGATTATTACCTGATGGTAAGCAACCGGAGCCGCCCATGGACAACCGCAACACAAGAGAGGTCACGGGTGCCTTGCGGACCTGAGTATTCGGAAGGGATTGGGTGGGGGAGGGGACGAAAAATGTTGGACTTTCCGTAAGTTTCAAGTTCAGTTTAAATTCGTGCCGAAGCATGGCTCTCAAAATCTGCGTATATTCACAATATAATGATAATTTTATTTGAAATTTTCCAGTAACTGGGGCACAGAGAGTGATGACTCCAGCTACCACAATGGCAACTCAGACCCCAGAGGTTTTGGACACATCGGTATTCTAGTTAAGAACGTGGATGAAGCTTGTGCCAGGTAATAACCACTTTAATATTATTATTATTATTCATGACATCACGTTTTTTTTACGGTATGGAAGACGGATTACCTGATGGCAAGCAATCGGCGACGCCCATGGATACCACGGGCGACCCTCTTAGCACTCTTAATTCCTCCTTCCTCGAATCAAGCTTCGTCACGAATTGGTCTACTCGACCAGAGTGATACCACGGCCTCACACAAAACAACATGAAACAACCACAGCGTTATGTTACAAGAGGCCCAATCCTTCACTTCCCCTAATCCCTAAATCCACAAAAGGTCGGCAAACGCACTCGTAACTCTTCCGTTATTGAGGGTGTCCATGAGCGGCGCTGATTGCTTACCATCCGGTAATCGTTCTGCCCATTTGCCGTCCTATAACATAAAAAAGAAACAAAAACCTAGCTGTCTGCGGACGGCGAGTAAGGGTAGCTCGCCGCCCGACCGGAACCAGAACCGAGCGTACGTCTCAAATAGCCATTAGAGTCTAATGATTAGACCATCACAAACGGGGCTCTATAGGGCTGATGTTCAGCCGGGGTTGCTGGGTAAGCGCAATGAGGCACCGCGACCTCGGCCCAGAGCAGGAGAAGGAACGGGGAGGTTTTTAGTCAGTAAGAGTCTGACACTCCCTCCCCTGGTCCTGAACGGGAGATGTCATTTGATGATTTTGCCCTTACAAAAGTATCTTTCTTTCTGGTAAGCACTGAGTATACACCATATTCGGAATATCCCAAGGTTCATAACATGGTGATTATGTCATCAAGTTGATACTAAATTGTCTATTACACAGATAAAAATACCTAAAAACTTTTAAGTGGCAACAAAAAATATTTAAATACCTTATGAAGTGAAATTAACTCTACACTAATACTACTACTTCTCATCTACACTAAAATACCCTATTGAACCACCGGCCAACGTAAAAAAGGTAACTTCTGTTTAATATGGATTACTAAAAATATACAGGGTGTAAGGGACAGCCCTCCACAAACTGATAGGGTGAATTTAGTATATCGTCTTAAGTTGACCGGTACATGAAATTATTTCAGGAACGTTATGGGAATCCAATTAAACTGATTTGTTTCATTACCTTACACGCAATGTATCGCTAACACCGCAAAACGCACGCAGCGAACGGCAGCGCCGCGACCTTACCTTTTGGACTAACGGCCGCGCTCGCGCCACGTTGTATAACAATAAATTATTATTTAAAAGTTAGCCGCATAACGTACAAAAGAAAATGTAACAATCATAACATGGTAACTGATGATAAAAAAAGAAAAATCTGTAACTGATAAAAAAAAACTTTGTGTGATCCATAAATTGTTGTTTCGGGTCTAATCCTAGAGTGGGGCAACCCTTTTTTTAAATAAAATAAAATTGAACAAGAAAAAATGTTAGTAATTATTTTTGCTCAATGACGCTAACTTTATGTATTTACTAAGTATGTATGTTAATCACACTACTACGTCTTATCATCTAATTCCCGATACAAATCTTACCGATAGTAAAAAACTCAACATTACTTTGCAATATTATTTGAGATCTCATGCTCAACAGCAAAGATTGCGACTGCTGTACCACATTCGGCCATTCTGGTTTAACGTAAGAATTATTCTGCAAAATCATTAATCTAATCTATAAGAGGTAATGGAGATAAACATCGTACCTATAGATCTACATGAAAGTAATCTGAAATGTTTGATTTGAATCTGATTATGTATTTCATTTCTTAAACCTTACTTATCGGATTTTTCATTCATTTAGAGTGATTTTGCATAAAATTGGACATAAAACTTTATGCGAAATGTTTCTTATGTTAACAATTGATTACAATTTATTTTTCTTTTTTTATTACCTGGGGAAGCCCTTAAAAGCTGTCATCTGTATTAGGATTATAGGGTCTCGATTCCTCCTATAGACGTTCTCGGGAGCCCCCACGGTGCAACTGAAGCATAGGGACATATGCCTCTTGAGACCTTTTACTGGAACGCTATGCGCCGTATGCTCGGATCTGGTTCTGGTCAAACTGCGAGCTACCCTTGCTCGCCGTCCTCTCGGCCGACGCTCGACCCTCGCTTACGGAGATCTCCAACGCTCAGATTATCTCCTGTAGCAGCTGGAACTTGAGGAGGATAAAGCTCCCTCTAGCGGTCCGACTTCTTGTTTGTGAGCTTGACTGCTTCGCAGTTCCCCTCGTTTCGCAACATGGCCTCCACCAAAGAGTAAATAAAGTGGGAGAAGAGAGCCCTCATGCGTATTTTTTTGGTATACAAATTTATAGCGCCCTCTAGACTTTGTAACCAGAAACTAATGCATGCTATATTCGTACCTACCTATAGATGCCTATATTTATTTAGCCCTCCCTAGATTATATAATGTTCTGTGTTTTAGCCTGTTTTTAATTCCGGCCTTTAAACTGACCCTTAAAACCATAATGTCATAACATTCTACAGTTTAATTGCCAGAAAGGGCTCCGGAATTTAAAAAAAGACAAAACGAATCCAAATTAACAAAAAAAAAAAATTCGTGTGATCTATCAACGTCAAAATTTAAAAGACTGGTGTTGCTATGCTCTAACATAATGAATTCCCTATGCGATAGAATGAATTAACGGCTGTCATCCAAAAAAATATAGTAACAGCCACTTATTAAACTAAAAATAAAAGTACCTAACTAGTTAATTGATACATATTTATTAACATCAGTTAAATTTACATAACTAGTTATTTATTCGCATAATTAAAGCAGTTCTTTAGATCTGCAATACCAGGACAGCGACATCTATTGTGATATTAAGTCACTTAACAAGACATTGAGTATTTCTAAGTTACAAATATAAGATGGCACCTCTATCTTAGCGATCTTGGAGGATGAAGGGCACCGTTCCCCCTCTGGCCTCCACTGAGACCGGGCGCGAGAGATCGCTTGCCTGAGGACTTGGCAGTGCTCACCCCAAAAAGGGCACACCGCCACCGCATGCTCTAGATCTGCATAAAAAAGAAATGTTCAAGCTGCCTTTTACCCAGTCACTACGCCATCTGTGTCTATTATGAATACTCACACAATTACCTTAACACTCAAACAAGTACCAACTAGTCTTAAAGAAGAGTCCCATTTTAATAGCCAAAGTGTATAGTCTCAAATCATGTGTTTCAGGTTTGAACAACAAGGCGTGAAGTTCATCAAGCGTCCCAACGATGGCAAGATGAAGGGCTTGGCCTTCATCCAGGATCCCGACGGCTACTGGATCGAGATCTTCTCTAGCAATGTTGTTTAACACCGTAATCAGCGATCACCATCATTATCACCAAGTTTGGTGCAGTGAAAGGATTAGTTATTTTAAGTGTGTATAAGAAATTACAAACCGAGAACTACACCTATGCACGCGCTCTTTATGTTATTACTGGCGGCCCGCTCCCGCTTCGCACGGGTTCAACTTTTTCGCTATCAAAGGGTCAGTTTTTCCCAATTTTATAAGAACCTTCTCCTGACAACAAAAAAAGAATTAGCAAAACTGGTCCAGGCGTTGTTGAGTTATGCGCTTACCAACTCATGAGGAAGAACCCCTCTGTGGTTCGAAACTAGTAGAGTTTTTCTCAATATAATTATATACGTGAGTAACCCGTGATTTTTAGTTAACCTACCAACACATTTTGCAATCCATTTTTATAAATATAGATATACTAGCTACCGCCCCCGGGCTTCGCCCACGAGGTATGTTGTCAAAAAACAGATTATGTGTTAATCTGGGGTACCTATCTAAGTAAAAATCCAAAGTAAGTAAGTAAGTATCCAAATTTCAAATAAATCGGGCCAGCCGTTGTTGCGTGAAAAAAAATTACCCCATAAATTCTCACAAACTTTCACATATAATTTTAGAACGATAGTAGGATAATGTTTTCAATTATTTCTTATTTTAATGTCTGTGTATACATAAATAGAACTAAAATTTTGTTTTTGACGAAAACACCTTTGGCTTTTAAAGACCAATTTGAGCCTTACACTGTACCAAATACTTAATTATATAAAATAAGTAATGTAATTAATATCTACACATATTATATAATATGGAATTGTTTATATAATAAATAGCTCCAATATTGAGCAAGAAATATAGATTCTATACGACTGAATATAAAATATGTAACCACACCAATGAATATCATGATTGGATTTTTGTAATGTTTTGATTGATTATAACAGTAAAGAATATCGAGTGAATAGTGTATATAAAAATAATGAGTGATACCACGGCCTCACAGAAAACCAGCGTGAAACAAACACAGCGTTGTGTTTCGCCGTGTGAATGAGGTTCAATCATTATTTCCCCCCTCCCGCCAATCCTCCAATCCCCTAAACCCATTATCCCGGTAAGGCCAGCAAGGCATTTATAACTCTGGTCTTTCTTGTGTCCATGGGCGGCGCTGATTGCTTACCATCAGGTAATCCGTCAGCTCGTTTGCTCGTATCATATAAAGAAAGCAAAAACGTAAAAATCAAAGAATTGTGAGTGGACTCAATATTAAATATATTATTAATCAAAAGTGGAATTGTAAATTTTTGTAATAATTATTATAAAGCAAGCTTGTCCGTTGCTGAGCAACGGAGAAATGTGATTGATAATTAATAATAAGGATAATTTTTTTGTATTTTATTTGTTATCTATTGGTTTTTCGTGCAATTATCAATAATATATTAAAATGTTATTTACTAATTTTGTGTTTAATTTTTCTCTTAGAGTGTGGTATGTATGTGAATTTGTATGTTTTTAAATGTATCTATAACAAGAGCAATTACTAGTGTAGGCAATGGTATATGTAAAAATAGTATAAACGGGAACCCTATTATTAAGACTCCACTGTCCGTTTGTCTGTCTGAGTGTGACACGAGTTATAACCGTAATTCATGAACTGTGATAGCTAGACAGTTGTAGATAGATGATGTACATATTCATATTGCAGTTAATACAAAAATACCACCAACATGGTACGGGAGCTAGCAACGTTTGGAAAGTAAGAATTTTAGGTCAGCTGATTTTGTGATATGTCGTCCTTCTTGCACTTTCGGTTAGAGTCTGAGCTATCTGGCTGGCGGTAGCGGTTGCGTTCTTTAGTGCGCATCCTACCATGCACATTTACATTTTTGACAATGCTAACATTGTCAAACATGTCTGACAATAAAAAAAGTATTTCAGGTAGACTTTTTTAAAAACAAAAAAATAAAAATTACGCCTTCTAAAATGTTTTTAAAATCCAGGATTATTACCTGGACAGGTAGGATGCGCACTAAAGAAGGCAACCGCTACCGCCAGCCAGATAGCCCAGACTCTAACCAAAAGTGCAAGAAGGACGACATATCACAAAATCAGCTGACCTAAAATTCTTTCTCGAAAACGTTGCTAGCTCCTATACTACAAGGAAACCATAAAAATTAATGTGATTTAAGTACGGATCCCTTCTTGCTGGTCCGACTCCTACTTGAGAATACCTTTGGAGGACATAAGCAACATAGATAAACTAGAAACAAAACAACTGTCTGCATCAACTCAAGAACTGCTGATTGTATTTTAATGAAGTTTTCACTAATCATATGGAAATATAAGCTAGTGATGGTAATCAAAATGTTTTATTAGTACATTATCTAATACACTCTGTCCCATCAGCTTTATAAGGAGCGAATTCGGAACCATATGGAATACAGTGCTCATCTTTGGGCGGGGACAATAAAATGCCAGCTTCGCCCTCTGGACCGTAATCAACGACGAGCTGTTCAAATCTAGCCGGACTCTGCGTAGGTATGTAGCCTCGCTATGAGTTCTCTATCGCATAGTTTTATTCATGGGAATTGTTCGATTTCTCCGCCATCCGCCATCCGTGTTAATGTCCATCCCATAGATGGCGCTGGCAGTCAAAAACTGTGCAACAGCAAAACTTTGGAATGTTATTTCAGCAAACCGTTACGACCTATTCAAACCCTTAAGAAACGAGCGTACTCCTTCTTAAAAGGCCGGCAACATGCCTGTGAGTCATCTGGTGCCGCAGAATTACCATTAGGGCCTCATAATCCATAAAAAAATACCTACTATAATTCCTACCTACATTATGATTTATGTATTAGATAGCTATGTAAGTACCAAGTGTGCGTTTACCAAGTTTCATTAAAATCGGTTTGTAGTTTCCATGATTTTTGACTTGAATTTGTAAGAAAACCCGAGCAGCATATCTAAACGCTCCGGTCACCACCTTAAATACTTATAATGCTGTGTTTCTCGAAGTAATTGGTTTGTTTTCGTGTAAATAAGTGATTGAGCAGAAATAATCAATTAATACATACAAGACTATTTGCACACTTTAATAGTAATTTTAACGTACAATTTATTGTTATCCGCTAGGATTAAACAATAAGTAACTTTATTTTCAAAGTGATTTAGTAAGATTTTGAATGACAAATCCTAATAAAAATCGAGGAATCATAATGATGCTAAGGGAAAACCAACTTATTTTGCCCTTAACTTAAGGTTGATGTTTGTTGGTTTGAGAAAACTTTCGCTTTAGATAAATAAATGCCGGTTCCGCATGTTTCGATTTTCAAATAATAGTAACAATTAGGTAAGTTAATATAATGTAGTTGTCATTGGATAATCGGCCTTACTGCTAAACTGTTTAGTTACAGTTATATTTAGTACATTGTTATGAGAGGAAAGCGGTTTTATTGGCACGCTTACGAGATGGCGCTAGTGAGCTTTAAAGTCTTATGAGTCTACGAATATACTGTAGGCTATAGCCTATAGCTCTCACAAGTTGTCTGAATAATAGCAAAACAAAATATGTGTAGCAATAAACTTAAAAGTATGGATTCTCTCTTGTGTCGTGGGTGTGTTTACAAGCTTACAATTGTATGTACACATAACACCCGAACGGGAACAACATTTTATTACTACGCAAAGAATTTTTCCGTGCGAGAATCTGCAATTAGGTACGCCTACGTACAACTGGACTGGAGTTATGACTGACATGACTGAGGTCTGGGTGAGCCATGCTTCGGTACGAATGGGTCGGCTCGACTCGGCCGGAGTGATCCCTATATGTAAATATATATGCATATCTATTTAATTTTTCAATACGATTAGTTAGCTAGCATGCAGAATTGTTAATGTCACTCATCTGGTCACCTGATTGTATGCAATCGGTGCCGCCCGTGAATAGGTAATCAATCACTATACCGGAGGAGTTAAAAGTGGTTTAGGGTGTGGGTTGTGAGTCGGGAAGGATAAACCTCACTCACACGGCGAAATAAAATGCAAGGGTTGTTTTACCAGCTCATTTCTGCTGAAGGATGGCTTTCCCCGACTTTATCATCGAAAATATAATATCTATAGTCTATCATGTCTTCTTATAGTCGTTTCCTCATATCCGAGGATCGTGGTCAACATCGAGGGAATATCTGGAACCGATGATCCGCCTCCACCGGTTTCGATCCAGCGCATCTCTTGTTACCGCGAAGAATCTATAGAGGACGATGAACCTTTCACTTGATCAGTCCATCTGGTTGGTAAATGACCACGCGATCCTTTGCCTTCGGTGCTCCCAACGACAATATTTTTTTCCAGACTTTCATAGCCTCTGCGCACTGTGTTGCCAATAATTAGGATAGAACGCGTTGTTAGCATATGGCTGACAAGCAGGTTTTTTTGAGCCGATTCAGGAGAGACATTAGTGCGTTTAGCAGTCCAAGTCATTCGGATTAAGCGCCTACAGCAACACATATCGAATGCATCTATCCTTTGTCGTTCTCGGACTAAGATCGTCCCTGCTTCCATTCCATAAAGGAAGATAGGGAATACCAAGACTCAGTCAACCTGATCTTGGTTTTAATGCCAATTCCTCTCTTTGAAATGTTGGCCATAGCATCTTTAGCCATCGCGATGCGTCTTTCAATCTCGGGGACACAGCTGCCATCGTTGCAGATTTGGGAGACGAGAGTGGTCGACGATGTTAATGCCAGGAATGTTGCAAGTGATATTTGCTAGTGTTCCGGCTCGATCCACTATCACCTTAGTATTCGCTCTGTTTACTGTGTGACCAAATCTTCTACGGATGTTGTCAGGAGAACATTATCATCAGCATATTGAATATTTGACGATCTCTTGCCACCTAAAGGAAATAGGCGAAAAGAGGAAATAGATGATAGAGCTTCAAATAGCAAAAAATGTAAGAGAATTATATTTTGCGGGCATTAAGATGGAATTCGTCATAAAAACCAAGCTTCATAAACACTGGCAAAATATAAATATATTTTTCTGATTTGTTGGAGACGTTCGTCGATTGGGGTACTCGGTAATTTTAGGTTAAATGTTTCCTTCTAGAATTTGGTGAATCGAAAATCTCTCAGTACTTTAACTCGGTAATTTTAGGTCAAATGAGTGCCTAGGCACTCATTTGTCAATGATTCAGAGGATCCATATACTTGGACATAGAAACCAGTTAGATCCATTATTTTTATCTCATTATCGCCTAAACAGACGATTTATTGTGTACTCGGTACCAATTATCAGGCCAATTTAACGGATTTTCGAACTTATCATTAGAGACGTGTTATAATGGTCAAAGAATAAAATGGAATAGAGCCTACGAATCTATTGTTATGTTTCTACTTTTGGTTGCATCTAAACTTGCGTTTCGCATGATGCATTTTTAAAATGACAACCAACCATAACCATGTAGTTTTTAACTCATTCTTCGCCATCGGAATCTAAATTTGAAACGAGTAAATAGCTTCACTAAGGTGACTGTCCAACAGACTGACATGTTTTATCTTTAAGCTTTTCATGACATTCAAAAATGCCTGTAAGGGTCTAATTGACATCAATGATTTTGGATTTTGACTTCTTTTTGATAACAGAAAGGCCCATGTGCGAAATTGCTTACTCGCTCCATAATTGAGGGAGGATCGGTTTCCTCATAAATGATAGTGCTGCAAATGTAATGACAAAGATAAGCGTTTAAAAATCTCACTTACTAGACGGAACGCTGTAACATTGCGTCGCCAATGCCTCGCAGAACTATCAGACCGCGACAGATGGGCCCACTGTGGCCGATGTCTAGTCAGGGTTAGACAAGGATCTTCTGCAAGCCGGCTTAGAGGAAGACAACGAACAGGTGGGTTTTAGTCATGAAGTAAAACTCCCTCTCTGCCCTTAAAAGACGGAAGAAACCTGAAAAAGACCCTAAGCCCGGAAAAAAAAAGTACGTTGGTAGTCTCTACAAGAATGTGGGTTTCTTAATTCATGAAACCCCAAGCGAACGCTATTCACGCGCCTATTGTTCTTCCATTGTGTCTCCAATTACCACTATTGAAAGGCATCAAAGATTTTTTTACAATACACTGCATACATAATTATCCTTACAAGTACCCTATACAAATACCGAAACGCAACATGTGGATATTATGGCAAACTCCTCCATTGTTTTAGACGAGGTCGTTAGTGCAGCGTTAGCTCTTTGCATTTGTTGATTTATTATTCTTATTTCATATTACAAATTGTCGCATCTACCATACATTAAATTTCTTCAAGACACGCTCCAAATAATAGTTCGAATTATAGCGGTTTTCATATAAATAAGCCATTATAATCGGCACAATCTTATTAGGAACTCACTCGGTGTGGACCTAATGTGTAGGTATAACGTACGACTTTATTATGAAGAAAATAATTAGTAAATTATGTGTTTATCTATCTTTCCTTGTGTTTTCGGTAAGTTTGTTTTCATCATTATCATCATTAACTCAACTTTTTGTGATATAGGTAAGTATACAGGGCGTAAATGAGAATACCTATCACCTGGTGGTAAATATCCAGCGCTGACCATAGATTTACCTAAATGCTACAGAGAAGTTCCACGTGCATTATGCCTTTTTACGGATTTGGGGACAATAAAGATTTTAAGTGATAAGTCGGCCAGCAACCAAATGGATTACCTGGTGGTAAGCAACCGGCGCTGCCCATTGACACTCGCAACACCAGAGGAGTTACGAATGCATTGCTGGCCTTTTGGGCATTAAAGTTTGGAGACTTTTGTCGATTGAGGAAGGGTGAAGGAGAAGACAAGGATTGAGCCGGTAACCTCACTCACACGGTGAAACACAACATAAGTGTTTTCTGTGAGCCCGTGGTATTAATCCGTTTGAGCCGGCTCATTCGTGCCGAAGCATGGCTCTCCATCATGTCAAAGTTATTTTATACCAGTTTAAGTAAGGCCATGATATCACTTCGGTCGAGGCGGTCAGTTAGTTTTGAAGTCTCTTTCATATGAAGCATTTTCTTAATCACTAAACCTTTCCAATGGACTTAAAATCCGTCAAAGCCAAAGGCTTTGAATTTGAACGCCTTTGTCTGAGCTTGTTTTCACATTATTTTGTTGACGGATATTCATCAAATGACTTCTCCCGCCTTCGATGTTAGACTCTTTCTGATAAAAACCACCCGATTCAACTACTTCTTTATTCATAACCCCGCGGCTACTAATCTAGCTTTACAAAATTGAACCTTAAAAGTATAACGTTAGAGATTGATTCTTGGCATGATTATCACTTCAATACCCTTAAATCATAATACGAGACCAATCGATTGTCGTATAAAATATACTCGTACTAACGAGACAAACCTACTACGCAGTAAATATTGTGCACAAATATGACCTAAAGCGCACATTTTCACAATAGAAACCAATGCTTCAGTACAAATGGGCGGTTCGACCGGAGTGATACCGGTTTTTTACCCTGTGAATGCGAGATAAATAACTGGATACTCAATCCACAAATCCTCAAAAGACCAGCAAGTCCAGCAACGTATTTGTCATTGCTCTGGCTCTTCTAAAGATTTCAAATGGCGCTGGTTTCCTACTATCTGGTGAAATGTCTGCTCGTTCATCGCCATATCAAATTGAACCATAGTTTTCGAACGACCATTTGTATTTTAAGTTTATTAAACGTCGACAAAAACTAATTACAGGACGCTGTCCCTCTTAAACTTATACCAGGCGAACGCAATGTTATAAAGGATAAAGGTGTCACCCATACTATATCAAGATTTTACGTTGTACCCAACGATTTTAGTAAGGAAGTATCAGTGAAAGCTTTGCATTCTGATCATGAATCATCTAATAGCGAAGACTCAGTGACTAATGATTTGCTAGCAAATATAGATGGGACATTAACGAATGCAAACAATAATACAAGTGGAAATAATGTATCGTCGACAAAGAAAAGCAGAACAACAGTTACTATATTAACAGTAAGTATTAAACTAAACATTATAAACATTTTTGTTAATGTTATCAAATTGAGATAGCACTCAGATTGACTAGATAGTTTAAAAAAATACTATAGTTAGTTTATTCTTTTGTACATGCGGACTTCTCCAACGTACCTTCTGATAATATAAAACACTTAGAAGTATCTGTCAACATTCAACATGAGAGTACGAAAATTTATAGTGAAAACGACACAGCAATAAATTTAGTATGTTTCACGATATTTCCTAATCATAAGCTGCTCTTAGTTTATAGCTCAATGATAATGTGTATCTCTGTTTCTAGACTTTTGGCTAAAGGCAAAATTACCAAAAACTGATCCATAATTTCCGTATAATTAATTATATTCCTGTACAATTTCTTTTCTTCTTCAGAAATCAAATATCTTGAATGAGACTTCGGACACTGGTGGCTTAGAGTTACTCGTTCAACCCATTAGTGGAAAAAAATCTGTAAACGATAATGTTAGTTGGAATACCTCTCGTGCAGGTGAAGAGACTAATGATGAAGTATTAACTAAAATAACAATGGACAGTAATAAAAATGACGGTAAGATTGTTCATCATCTAATCAATACAACATTTGAAGGAGGAGATTTAATAGTGCAAAGTAAACGGAATCGTTGACCAGTAGGATATTATTGATATATAATAAAAAAAAAGTTTCCCCACACAATTATTTTCTCCCGTGTCGTGGATGCATACAAACATGCAATTTCACATACACATGACACCCAGACCTGAAACAACAATTTGTGAATCACACGAATAGTTGTTCCGTGCGGGTACCTCGACAACCGTGTAGTCTTAAGTTTTTTGACCAAACATTAAAGCAGCAGCAGCTTTAATAATCAGAGCTAATTTAACATAATAGCCGCCACGTAGATCACCTGTCACCTACGTAGCGGACAATTTACCTTCATCAGTTTTCAGTCACACTTTGACGATCAGAGCTATAGCAGAAAAATGAAAATCAAGCTGAATTTAGAAAGACTTTTTCATTTATAAGTTACCCACTTAAACTAGATGGGCATTTAGATGATTTTTACGTTTCAGAAACAAGTCACCAGGCAGTTTCCGGCGATCAGAGATTAAACGTAGTGTCAAGAAATAAAATTTCGGAAGAAAATGTTGAAAATGAGAAATTTTCCAATACTGTTACTAAACAAATCGTTGACGACAGTGCAAACAAAGAAGTTTTACTCGCAAGTACAATAACTAACGAAGGCCATTCAAAAAGAAGTGACGAAGTAGAGAGTGGAAATGACTTGCATCAAACATTAAGCGAAAATATTGAAGATGTATCACCTATTGTTTATACGCTGAAAGAGCCAACATTAACAAGTGATAATAATACGAGAAGCATTCATCATACAAACCTTGACGGATTGCTGTTAACTAATTCTGATACGACTAATTTGGCAGATAATACAGAAGATGAAAATACAAGTAGCTTACGAACGAGGAATGATGAAAAATACATTGATCCGTGGTCTATTATAAGTAAAAATGGTAATGACATAGTCTGGACTAAAGACGATAAAACAACTAATAATATTCCAGAGGCAATAGAACTAGGGGTTAAAAATGATTTTCCCTGGAACACTAATGATGGAACTGACAATCATGTGGCCTGGACGGAAGACGAAAGGGTTGAAAATGATTTACCCTGGCACATTGGAGATAAAACTGTCAATAATGTTCCCTTGGTGGTAGAACAAAGGGTTAAAAATAATTTACCCTGGGACATTGATGATAAAACTATCAACAACGTTTCCTGGGCGGCAGACGAAGGAGTTCCAAATGGCAATAATGTGCCTTGGCCGGTAGACGGAGACGAAAGGGGTAAAAATAATTTACCCTGGGAAATTGAAGATAAAACTAACATTAATATTCCTTGGGTGGTAGACGAACGGGTTAAAACTGACAATGATGTGCCTTGGCCGATAGACGTAGACGAAAGGGTTAAAAATAATTTACCCTGGGAAATTGAAGATAAAACTGTCAATAATGTTCCTTGGGTGGTAGACGAACGGGTTAAAACTGACAATGATGTGCCTTGGCCGGTAGACGTAGACGAAAGGGTTAAAAATAATTTACCCTGGGAAATTGAAGATAAAACTGTCAATAATGTTCCTTGGGTGGTAGACGAACGGGTTAAAACTGACAATGATGTGCCTTGGCCGGTAGACGTAGACGAAAGGGTTAAAAATAATTTACCCTGGGAAATTGAAGATAAAACTGCCAATAATGTTCCTTGGGCGGTGGACGAACGGTTTAAAACTGACAATGATGTTCCTTGGGCGGTGGACGAACGGTTTAAAACTGACAATGATATGCCCTGGACGGTAGACGTAGAAGAAAGGGTGAAAACTAATTTACCCTGGGCCATTGAAGATAAAACTGTCAATAATGTTCCCTGGGTGGTAGACGAAGGGGTTAGAACACACAACAATGTGCCCTGGACGGTAGACCAAAGGGTTAAAAATGATTTGCCCTGGCACATTGAAGACAAAATAAAAACAGATATTCTTTTGACCCTGAAAGGGAAAAAAGCCACAAATAATGTCGCATCGACTGTCCCAAAGAAGACCTTCGATTTACCTTGGACCCTTGAAGATAAAATAAACAATGATATACCTTGGACTATCGAAGAACAAGTTGGCGACAGTGGTTATATTGTTAAAAAGAAAATTTACAAAAACATTCCTTGGAGTAGCGAAAGTAAGATTACTGGCACCGAGCCATGGTATGTAAGTCAATTACCAACATCACTTTACCAATCAGGTGTAGTAAGCCATGGAGTCACAAACAAACAACCTTATTATGTGTATACGTATGTCGTTCATCCTGCATCTGTCGGACCATCTTCAATTTTACATGAACAGCCAGACCTATACGACATTTTAAATGTGAAACATACCCAGTACAATACGAAGTTTGAACCAAATATAAAACATGGTTATAAAATATCCACAGTTAATGCTGCAATGGAGCCTGTGAAAGCAAGCAAACAGAGTAATTACGGAGTGCAACATAATGGTGTTGTTACTGATAAAACTATAAGTTTTCTGAAAAAATCACAACATATTTCACAAAATCCTCAAAACTTCATTATAGACGCCGACACAGTTAATCCGAAGATAACAAATGAATACAGTCACACTTTGGAAAAGAACGTAGCAACTCCGAAAATTCCCCACGAATACAGCCTCAATATAAATCCTTTCACTGACCTAACTGAGTCCCAAGATCTTACTCAAGAAGTTTTCCAAGGAGGTATTCGTAATATTGATAATGTAAATTCTAACTTTATCAATCCTAAAATTACGCATGAGTATAGTTATATCGCTGACAAAGACGTTTCTACTCCTATAACTTCCCAAGATTACAGCTACAATATATATAATCACAATAAAGTTCCCGAAATACTTCAAGATTCTATTAGACTTACTACTGGGACCGTCATTCCGAAAGTTATACATGGTTATAGCTACGCCAAGGAAACTAACATTGTAAATCCTTACTCTCCTCGCCCTTTAAACCCCAACCTTGATTATAAAGGCGTAGTTGCAAACACTCCTCTAGATTACAATCTCGACATAAATTCGGGCGTGGTCCCTAATTCTCTTGCTCATTACAAATATGAGAAGAAAGTTGAAATTAAAAATAATGTACAACAAGGTCCTCTTAACGTACACTCAAAAGACTCAGAAAATGATCACAGCCTAGTTGTAAATCCACATCTAGATTCCAAAATTATTTCAAACAACCCTATATCTTCTTACAAAATAAGTTATCTTAACCTTCTCAAAAATAAATTGCTTCACATAAATCCCCATTCTACTAATGTGAATTTCAAGGCAACAATCCAACATCAGAATACAGATCAAAACTATATTAACAAAAATGTTATCCAAACCCACCAAACTTTAAACTTAAAACTAGTTCCCACGTATAGATTATTCACCGTACAAAATTTATTAAAACTAACAAACGCGCTGAAGAGGCTGATCCTATCTAGCGGAATTAATGTACAGGAACAAAACGCACTAAATAATTTACTTAAAGTTTTACAAATACTGCTGATACAGGCAGACTATTTTGGTCTACAAAACAACTGGTACGAAAAAATATTTTATAACGTACCTCCCCAAAATCGACACCCCTTGCAAACTTATGCTTACGACTTGATTCGACAAAGATGGCTACATGAATTATTGCAAATATTGCATGAGAATGATTTTAATCTTAATATTCTCCGCAATCCTGGAATAATTACGCTTTTGGTAAAATGGCAGTTTCCACAATACGTCCAGAGTTATCTAAAAGAAGAACATAAACGTGGATGGTACTATTCAGTGCAACAGAACAATGTGAACCCGGTAAATCCTTCATATCATCAAGTTGTGAACAACTATGCTTGTCAATATTGTGCTGCGAATTTAAAGAACTTTGTGGCTAATCATGCTTATTATAGTCCTCAAACGGGTGAATCAATGATGAACATAGCAAGGAAAAACTTTGTCATAGACGCAAATGTAGTAAGAAGTATACTCCAAAATTTTTATCTAAATAAGAATGCTATAGAAGTTAAAGAAAAAGTTAGTATGGAAGACAATAAAACTGCAATGTTGAGACAGATAATTCTGTATTTAACTCAAAAGGGATATAGAACGCAGATTATTACTGACTTAATACATGAATTAGATATTGCTGTATTATCAACGGTGAACAAAGATTGTCGCGTCCAACAACGCAGTTTTCCGCAACAATTGTACGCTGTTATATTGTCAATATTGAGAAGCTCGCCTTAATATTAAATTGTTTTGTAGTTTAGTATTTCTATTTTTTCTTTGTATATAATTCTTATTTTTTTATTGTATTTTTTTTAATATTCGTTAGTTTCTCTATTTATTATAGGAGATAGATAGTATGTATTATATAAATTAGTTTTTGTTTTCATGTCGACATGAGCTAATCTTCATATGTATAATTGCATTATGTACAGATTATATAATATTTTTTATAGTTACTATAATATATTTATATTAGAAATGTATTGTATTTGGAAAATCAATAAATATATTATAAACTTATAGTAATTTGTTTTTCTTCACAGAAAATTACCCATTTCAGTTTTTTCCAACAAAATCAATTTTTTAACCGCTGCTACGAATGGAATTTTTAGACGCGCTAAATAGGTAAGTCCAAATTTCAATAAACCGTGTTCACCGAATCTAAAGAAGCTTCTGCTTCTTGATTTCAAGAAGATTAAATGATATGCTAGGTCTGATTCAGTAGTTTTTACGAGATATGGTAACAATCATCCTACTTACACACTTACAAACTTTCACGTTAATTATAATAGAAGCAAGAACATTTCATCAATAAAAAAAAGTTTTACAGTGCAGGTGTTCCACAGGGTTCTATATTGGGTGCTATACTACAATTTATCACGTTAATATGGTAAACTATGTATTTATTCAGCTATGCTATGTACTCTAAAACGTAATGGATGTATATATTCAAACGAGGCATCAGACCTTGGCAGGTTTGAGTCATATGTTTCAACCGACATTAACCTTATCAACAACCAACATTTTGTTTGTTTAATTAAAAAAGGAATCAAACAATAAATTGAAATGAAATTAAGAATTATACGAGCAGACTACGTTCCACGAATACAAAGAAAGTAGGTAACTACAGTGTGAAACAGAATGACGTATTGTTAGGACGTTAATTGAAATTGTAAGCAGTCCCAGCAAACCGACTTATAACCCTCAAAGCACACATAAACTAAACATTCTACATTAATATCACAGTACACTAACAAAAACCTTTTAAAATACAAAACATGTATAACACTACTTTTCCTAATTAAGCAAATCATTAGAAACATCAAAATTATATATTCCAATATGGCATTCGATTGTGTACTACGTGCAAAACAGGTAGTTTATATTATACATAATAGAATTGCGTTTAATCATTCAATTATTGTTTTCGATTTCATGGTATATAATGCGACATATCAATCAATTATATACTGTGTGTATTTCAATATATTTTGCAGACGCTACTTGAAGTTCCGGCACGCCATAATGATTTTGCGCCTACTATTTAGTATTTTTTTCTTAAGTGTCGTAACGGGAAATGAGCAGGTAAGTTACTAAGATTATAGTTTACTTGATTGTGTAAAGAAAGCGAATGGTGTCCAAAAGCAAAGCTTCATAGTTAAATTCAAACTTAATGGCATTTATGAACAACTAAAAGTGGCAAGTAATGAAAATTGCAAAGCTTCGCTTGAAGAGATCACTTCGTACTATTTGCTGATTATTAAAGTTGAATAGGTAAAAGAGGTATCGAGTAGTTAGCTAGAGGGAGTGGAAGTGCAAGACAGCATTTTACCTAATGCTTTATAGGTCAAGCAACCATGAACGCATGTTATGTGCTTCAGTAGGATATTCTAGTTAAATTAGGCTAATGTTCAACGAGTGGGGTTACGAGTCAAGCACAATAATGTATCAGGCACGCTGTTATAGCAGCGGTAAGGCAAATCTTTGAGGAGTGGCTTGAGAGACGCCATGGCTTCCTCACCTTCCGCCTGACACAGGTGCTCACCAGGCACGGAAGCTTCGGTAGGTGCCTGTTTCGGATCCAGCGGGAGGAAACGCCCGGGTGTCGTCATTGTACCGCTAGGAGGATACGGTGGCAGTGTGCCCTGATTGGGATGACCACCGCCGTTTCCTCGGGAAAGTGAGCGGCGACCTCTCGCGTCTGGCCTTTGTCAAGGTCATGGTGTGGAGCGAGAGGGAGTGGGAAACCGTCTCTTCTATTTGCAAAGCAGTAATGCTCGCAAATGAGGAGGCGGAGCGAAAGGAAGTCGTGCTAGTTACACTATTTATCTATATTGTAACTTAAGAACGGCTGAATTCACGATTTTCGGCTACCGTAAGCGCGGGTCTGCAAGGGTAGCTCACCGAACAGAACCAGACCCGGCACACACCTCAAAGAGCCAATAAACCAGCACAGACAGGAGCCCTATAGGGCTAATTTTCAGCCGGGTTTGCCGGGAAAGCGCAATAATGTCCCGCTGCCTTGGCCTAAGGTAGAAGAAGGAACAGGAGGGTTTGTAGTCAGTTAGAGTCTGACATTCCCGTTGAGAATTGGTACGGATTTGGTTTAGAACTAGAAGAAGAACATAGGATAGGGAAGAGTATGTTAGGTGGGGTAGATAGTGTACGTACTACTACTACTTACTAGGTAGGGTAATGTAAGCAGTCAAATGGTGAGAGCGAAGCAGCGACTAAAAGCTTGTTGAAAATAAAAGAGGAAACGACATTTTTTTGTGTGATAGTTCGGTAAACTACCATACTGATCGTAAGATGCAATTGGCGCCGCTCTTGTATACCTTCAAGACCAGAAGACTTACGAGTACGTTGCCTTGTGGAGATTAGGATTTTTTAGAAGGATTCGGCCTCCGGTAACCTCATTCACACGGGGAAAATACAACGCTGTAATTGTTTTACGTCGGTTTTCTGTGAGGCCATGGTCTCTGGTCGAACCGACACATTTAACTTGCTTCAAACGCATCAAGTTAGGCGTTCAATTTGATGTATCGAAAGTAATCTTCAAGTCACATTAAATCATTAAACACCAAGCGAACGCGCCTCTATTGTGTCTTAAATGACCTCGGTTGAAAGGTTAAAATATCAAAACTCATTTTAAGTTGGCAATACACACCTGGAATTGGTGTAGTTTAGAAAATGAAACTTTAAGAACGTGTATTTAGAAAAACTTTGCAACATAAACTTTCAAAGTAGCACCGCACTACGCTTACAAAAATGGTCAATGGTTATTGACAAAGTAATAATTCTAATTGAAGCATTATGATGTAGGTAACGTAATTTCAACCTGTAGGAGGTCCTTCAATGGATCCATTAAAATTAGTCATTTAATGGATACGCCAGATTTGCCTCATGAATATTTGGCATTTGGCCTCAAAATAAGTGTGGGAGCGCCATGTTTCGGCGCGAAAGCCGGCGCACAACAACCACAGCGTTGCGTTGCGCCGTGTGAGTGAGGTTTCTGGAGACCCAATCCATCCCCTCCCACAATCACCAAATCCCGAATCCCCAGAAGATCGGCAACGTACTCGTTACTCCTCTGTTGTAGCGGGTGTCCAGGGGTGGCGAAAAGTTAATCAATTTGCTTGTTTGCCGAAATATTATTATCAAATAAAAAAAAAGTTTTTCACGACAGCTCGTGCTCTTTCTTTGTGAAAATATGCATATAAATCATCAGCCGTATCAAATGTACCGTGAATATTGCACATTTTCTCAACATATACCTTAATAGTTTTCTCTGATTTTTATATGGTCACAATCTTATATTTAATAATTTGCGAGTGTAAGTTTTCCATTGATATTTTTAATGCTAAGCTTCGATGGTGATGAAAAATGTTGAAATTTAATTGGATTTCTTACGTTAGTAACGCAACTGCATATGATTTTTAATTTTAAGAAGTTAAAAAGCCTCTCAGACAAAATAATTTTAGAACCAAAAATAATGGAAAGGGATAAGCTGAACTTCCCGAATTCGTTGTCCTCGTATAAGTATTATTTTCCAGCAAAGTCTTTCCGAAACATCCCACAATACCCAAACACAATTCGTATCCAACCACTCCACAAATTACCGAAGCAAATACAAATGTAGGAGATAGTTCGGCAAACGAGTGGACGGATCACCCGATGGTAAGCAACCAGCGCCACCAATGGCAATACCAGATGAGTGGCAAGTGCGATACAGGCCTTTTGGGGATAAGATACTTGGGAATTTACAAATTGGGGAAAAATGCGGGGATGGGAAAGATTGGGACTACGGTAACATAAATCGTACGGCGAAACAGAACGATGTGGTGGTTTCTGTGAGTCCCTGGTGTTACATACACATATTGAAGAATAATATTTAAAATTTTGGGAAATGAGCAGGTAGAAAATCTGGTGGCAAGCGATCAGCGCCACCTAGGACACCCGTAGCAACAGAACAATGCAAGTGCGCGGTGGGCCTTTTGTAGGGGAGGGTCTGCGGTAACCACAAAAATGTTGTTTCTCGACGTCTTTCTGCAAATCTTATAATTTAGGAGAGGATAATCATTAAATGACTTCTCCCACACTGGGTTGGCGCGAGGGATTGACAGACTCGTACTGACTAACAACCATCCAGTATCTTCTTCTGCCAGAGCCGCGATACATCGCTGTGCTTACACTCGCCACTTGGCTGGTTTTTTTTTTTATTCTTATCAAAATGGCCCAAACTGCCCCTCCTGCGGCCCCCGTGTTATAAATCCTAACGTCCCTAATAACTTTAAATCCTGCTAATATTTAATATATTTTTTTATGTAATACTTCGGAGGAGGAGTTATGTAACTCACACGGCGAAACACAATGCTGTGGTTGTTTCACGCCGATTTTCTGTAAAGCCGTAATATCGCTCCGGTCGACCTGACCCATTCGTGCCGAAGCATGGATTAACTTGATTTAACTAAATGGCAGCGGAACATCTACTATAATAATCATAGCTGTGCCATGAACCTAAACAGACTCTGTATCATCACCACTAGGTTGAGCCAAAATCTTACGAAAAGTGCCAACTCGAGTTTGTTCAGTTTCAGGACCCTTACCAGATCATTTCGTCTAGACTCATATCGAACACAGTCCAGCAATAAGTTATGCAAGTCTATAACAACTCTACATTATTCATCACAATTAGACGAGTTAATTTTTTTCATCATGAACGCAAACTTATTGCATGGAATGTGTCCAGATCTATCTTACTAATTATACTTCGAAGTAAAGCCATGAAACTGATTCGTTTTGTGTTTCTAGATACCACAACTTCAACAAAATGCGGACGAAGAATTACAGGTTCCTGAGAAAGCTTTATGCTTTACGCCAGTCATGATCCAAAAGATTGTCAAGGCAGCTCTAGAATACGTTACCCAATTACCAACAGATGTAGATACTATTGTTAATCAAATTGATCAAGAAATCAACAAAATATCAGCAGTCTACTCTCCATCTCTATCTCCTGAAGATATAGTTGTTAGACAGTCTGTTCAGCCAATAGATTCCACATCAACATACGAAACGCCTCAACCTCAAACAAGAGCTAGTTTACTATTGCAATACGAATTGCCGGGCGAACAGGTGCCACATTGTGTAGCAGCTTTAGAAAGGCTGATCGCGATAGCATATAAGGCCTATCTTGAACTAGAACACTTCCCACAATGTCAAGAATATTTGTATAAGTTTGCAAGTACAAACCGAGAGGACAGACCACGGGGCTATCTCATTAAAGACAAACCGAACATAAAAACGTTAATAGCTATCATTTTAGAAGAATTACTGAAACAGAGACCCATCATTAACATTTCCACTAATGAAGACAATCGTTATGGAGGATTCGAAGTACCAAACCAAGATAATTACACACCTCACATAACAACCCCGATTCCTGATTGGGTATCAACATTGGAAACTCTACAAATAAATGATTATAAATACCCTCAGCCCCAAATAATTACAACTACTATGCCGATAAAACGACAACCGGTCAAACCTGACCATTCCGAGTATATAACGAATCTTATTATAAAACTTTTACACGTCGGCGACCTCACGAACAATAGAAAAATATATGAACACATCACAGAAATTGTGGATCAAAACAGAAACGTCTTCCATCCACAATTACTGAACTATATAATCACTCTCCTTAAAACTCATAGGCAGGTTCAAGTTCCGCGATTGAATGATTTGCTGCTGACACTTCTTAAAGTCCAACGACATCCTCAGTTGAAAGATCACTATACTGATTCTCTGCTGACCTTCTTGATTCCAAATCATTCAGGCCAATACGATGCAAGATTGGTGGATATTTTATTGTACTTGATCAACGAACGTCCAATTTCAGAAGCCGAAGACATTATATCAATTTTGAAGCCATTTTCGCAAGGATTACCTACAACAAGCGATTACGCTGAAATAGCTTTTAATATTATAAAACAGATAAAAAATAATCTGCTGACCCGAGAACAGAAAAATATTATATTGGAATTATTGAATCCGTACTTACCGGACCTTCACAAACATAATAATGCGCGAGCCGTCATTGTCGCCAAAGAATTATCGAAATGGAATGGACGCGGGATTCGCCCCACATATTTCAATACAATATTAAAAATATTGAAGCCAAACTTAGCCAGTAACAATGACCAACGAGCTGTTGATATTGTGTATTTCCTTTTGACTAATGGACATCGCCTGTCTCCGACGATTATAGAATTCATTTTAGATTTTTTGTCGCCACAAAACGGAATTATTGACTCCAGGCGACTTAATCTTATCCATTTTATATTAAATGAGGTGATAAGGTCCCCTAAACATGGACGCCTTTTATTGTCTTTGCTTAAAGAGAAGGGTCCTAATATATTGAACTCAAAGTATTTGGAAACCTTGCTTTTACTAAAACACCACAATTTAATAAATACAGAATTGTTAGACATTCTTGTACAACTTTTGAATGATGAAACAAGAGGACAAGTAGACGACAATCAAATTAGGTCACTGATCTACAAGCTGATACCCTACAAGCAACATAATCCAAAAGCTGTTATTGACATTTTTACACTTTTAAAAGACAATGGTTTGCAAGGAAATATCCTTGAATTATTTCAGCTTCCTAATGACAATGGATTCTTCCCAGATCAAGAACAACAGCCTGCGCCCATTAAAGTACTTGATAGCACTGAAATTCAAATGACACCGAGCGGTTTCACCAATGATTACCGCACGCCTGAAGGTGGATATCATACGCACGGGACAGAAGAGTTAAGTCCAAACTCTCCAAGACCCGAACAAGACCTGATACAAATCTTTAAGTGGTTGGATAGGCACGGATTATTGAATCCAGATCAAACATCTAATAACGAAGTGGTCAATAAAATATTGAAGATTTTACAGCTGGGCGAGCGTGAGCTGGGTGTTCTCGAGTTGACATACATGTTGAAACATGCCAAGCCCCTGGTCTATCAACCGGTATATTACGTGAAATATAGACTGCCAATATTAAACTTTATATCGAACATGAAGAAGTTGATAACGGCGAACCCTGACCTGAATGCTGACCCGATGAGACTGTTACAAGAACTGATTGTAGTATCGAATGTTACAGAGATTTCACCGCATCTACAGGGCTATCCCAAAGAAGAAATATTAAAGTTAACGTTAAACGATGGAGATTTAGTACAAGCGAAGATTCTTGACGAACAGAGCTTGAATTTGAATGATCAGATTGCGTATGTTCACACTTTCAACTCGGATATTTCGCCTGAAGAACTGTTGCAGATGAATGAACTAAACGAAGCCAAGTACTTCCCGAGATTTGTACAAATAAATGATCCTAGCAAGTTAACGATATTAAGTAAAACGATTGATAAGGTCGTCGAGTTCCCACCTGTCGTCTATAAGAAGCTGATTACCACCACGCATTCAGGTTTAATCCCAGAGATTCCCACGGTTCACCAGACGTTCATCGAACGTTCGAATCAGCAGACCACACCACAGACTGTGCCGGAAACACTAGTTCTGCCAATAAAGTAAAAAGTCAATACCTATTTTGTTTTTATTAAAATAAACCTAAGGACAAAACATGTAAGTAGTTTTATTTTTGTTTATAGAAACAAATAAACAAAATAAATTCTTCCTTCCTTTATTATATTGTTTTATTTCTTCACTCTTTATACTGAGATGAAATGAACAAGGTTTTGCCAGCGGTTACATCCGCTGTTCCTCGTCCGTTGGTCTCCAATGGATGCCACAACCTAACCTTACCTCCATAAATAAAATATATAGGTTTCTAATGTTCAACATCATCATCAGCCTATAAGTGCCCACTACTCAGTAAAGGGCTCTTCACACGCGGAGAAGACTTTAGCATTAACCACCACGCTTGCTCAGGGTGGATTAGTGATTTCAAACTTATAATTTCTAATTATAAGTTGAAATCATATTATTATGTAGGTAATAATTAGAAATTGTAAGTTCAGGTTTCCTCACGACGCTTTTCTTCGCCGTGAGTCAGTGTTGTCGAAATAATCTAAAAAAGTAGATCAACGAGCGTATTCCTTCTTAAAAGGCCGGCAACGCACCTGTGACTCCTCTGGTGTTGCGGATGTCCGTGGGCGGCGCCGATCGCTTACCATCAGGTGATGCGTCTGATCGTTTGCCACCTATTCCGTAAAAAAAAGTACACATAACTCGGAAAAAGTCACGTTAGTACTTGCCAGGTTTCGAATCCACACCCTCATGCATGAGAAGCGGGTGTCTTAACGTCAGCGCCACCATGAGTTATAATGTTGAATACCTATAAATAAATCATAGTAAGCAATAACAGAACATTATAAGTAAATTACCTTCGGATAAAATTGGCGACTATGCTAGTTTCACACACATACACTACGGGCGTCGGGGATCAAGGGACGATCTCCGGCCACCGTAAGCGCGGGTCTGCGGACGGCGAGTAAGGGCAACCTGCGGGACCAGAACCGAGCGTATGGCGCGTAGCGTTCTGCGCGCCTCCAAGAACCAATAGATCACCACAGTATGGGCTATTGGGCTGATTTTCAGCCGGGCTTGCGCAATGAGGCACTGCGACCTCGGCCCAGAGCAGGAAAAGGAACAGGGGGGTTTTTAGTCAGTAAGAGTCTGACACTCCCTCCCATCCCAGCCGGACAGGTGACTGGCCGGTGCGCAATGCGGGCAGGGTTCCATTCCTTCTCGCAACAGTTCCAGATCCACAAATTGTTGTTCTGGTGCTAAATGTGCTTCCACTACATGACATACTTAAGACAAAAAACAGGTTAAAAAAGCCACAAAGAATTAAATAAGTTTTCGTTCAACTTATAAACTCAGTTCAATTCAGGTGAAATGTAGCATTTCTGAACGTTTTTTTATATGCGAGCGTTCCAGTTACTATCAGGTCAGCTGTCTACTTGTCATATTACGTTGTCATCCAATTTATGTTTTGTTTCTTTCTTTTCTATACGAAGTCTCAACAAGTTAGAAAAAGACAAAACTAAATTTATGCTTAAAACTTTTACCTGGAACAGCGATAATCAATAAAAATCTTTCAGAAAATTGCCTTCGGTGACAACCTTGTGAACTTTGCAATGTAAATAAATAAAAGAACTGTGCAAATACGTGTTAATTATCTAAAAACTTTAGTGGAAAATATTGTGTTACTTTTTTAATCATGTTAGGACAACGACCGCGGTTCATAAAGCCAGGTAAATACTTATTGTTATAGGTTACTATAAAATACCGCCTATGTTTATGTTTCTTATGGTCTGTGTTTAAAATGTTTGTTTCAATGATGTAAGAGCACTAATTTAATAAATACTAAGTACATCAGTAATCAGTGGGTATCCATAGACGTGATCTCCTCCTCTGAATGAGAATTTCCAGCCAATTCAAATTAAGAACAAAATAAAATTATGAATCTTTTTTTAATAAAATTGCAATACCTACCTATGGTGAAGAAGGGAAACAAATAGTTCTAGATAAGTAAATAAATAAATCCAAGTTCCCTAAGTAAAACCACCTAACTTATCTAAATTCTTATACAAATCTGACTAAATAGAACTTCATGGTGAGTAAATAATATGTTTACAAACACTACAAATATGCTAACATATTGTGCAATCATCCATTTTATTCCAGGAAGAGATAGGTATGATGCACATCAAAACTAATCTACCTAGGGGATAATCTTTGGACCCGCTATTTGGATTTAAAAAAGTCTTTCACTGATAGATAGCTACAATGTTCCTGAGTGCTATGAGCTATAAAGTATAAAACATTACCCTACAACCAATAGAAGCCATAGTAGTAGAAGTATTAAATAAACACATAAAAAGTTGCACTTATAATTGCTATTTACACCTTAAAATCCAATAAAACCTTTCACCAACCTAAAAACTTAGGTTAACCTTGTTAATTGCACCTTTAGTTAAAGAGATATTGGTACACACTCCAGTGTGTCATGTGAAAAAATTGTGAATACTTTCAAGTTATGGAATGAATCCATCACATCAAATGTATATACAGAAGCAATAAAAATCTTAAAAAAATAATCCTACTAATAATTAATACACGTGAAAGTTTTTGTTACGCAAACACAGCTGAAAAAAATTTGTTGTAACTTTTATCTAAAACATCGGCTGCTTTTTTCAACACATATATCCACATGGCAAGAACCTATTTTTTATATATTGTTAACCCATTCGCTGTCAGTTCTTATTATCGTGTTTTTGATAGTGAGGAATTATATTAATAAGTTTTCTTGGTTTACAATAGCATGAGTGTTTAAAAAGGTAGTTTTTCATCTAATTATTTTCATTTATATCACAACTAATTTCATGTCTCATTTTTTTTTTCTAGACACCCTGAAAACTAATCATATTTTTTCTTACAGGTGACGAATCTTTGTACCCAACAAGAAACAAAGATGGGGCAATAGAAACTCTAGTAAATCCCAACGTAGACTCCGCATTATCTGTGGACAGCGACTCAACAACTTCCTTTGTCTACAACCGTTACCACCACTTACCGTTAGACGCACAACGACAGAAGCTACCAGTTTTTCAGTATCGCAACCACATATTGTATCTGTTGGAAAAGTATCAAACTTTAGTTCTGATTGGTGAAACTGGATGCGGGAAGTCTACGCAAGTTCCTCAGGTGAGTCTTGATATTTTTAAATAGCTTTTAGAAACAGAAGACAAATTATTTCAGCATCTATATGTTACATTACATTTTGTTAAAAACGAAGCATTAATACTACATTAAAAACTTTCTATCATGTCAGACGGATCACCTGACGGTAAGCAATAAGCATCCATGGACAGACACACAGAAGAGTAACAAATGCATTGCCTGCCTTTTGGGGATTAGAGTTTCGATAGGGTTTAAGGAGAAATAGGGAAGGGGAATGATTAGGGATTTTAAAAATCATAACCATTTAAGTAGTGTTAGAATTAATAAAGATATTTTTTTGTGTGCCTGATAAATTACAAGGAGCAACAACTCACATAGCAGACTTTTTTAGGAGCTAATTCTGATTGTAAGTATCAAAGTATTCGATCTCTTTGTACCTAAAGTGCCAGGAAAATAATGTAAACTATTTTATTTTATCATTGGAATTGAATTGATGTCAGAATTGATGTTGATAGTTGCGAGGTTCCTACCTACTGAAATGTTCAAATATTACCCACAAATACAAAATTAGTTGATCCATGTTATTCTTTTTTACACCGAATCGGAGAAACATTTTGCAGGGCAGTCGCCTACACAACCAATGAGGTTTGCTAATGGATAATAAATTCGTCTTTAAAATTAATAACATATCGTAACCTCTTTTATCTGGAAACCATAGACAATACATTAGAACTAATGTGGTTATCGGCATTCTTCAATTGTGTACGCATTATGAACACGTAATTGTTTAATGGCTATTTAAACATATTTTAATTATTTCAATTATGATTAATGCAACGTATGCTGGATAATTTGTTTTATTTTGAAACTAAACTTTTTAGAATTTGAATTTTGAAAATAACGACTTCGTCGTATGCGCGTTGTCGCCGCGGTGTGCACCCTACTCATGAATAAGAGTCCCGTTGTGACTAGATACTAGTAGAGTTTTTCTATGGGTTGTCTGTCGTTATTCAAGTTCAATAAATTTTGTGTGTCAAAGTTGGTATTCTCTCGCCGTCAAGCGTCATCGTACTTCGCAAATATCCACCCAATTCTGAAGATCTCAATGTTGTTTTAAATGCTTATGTAGATAATGAATCACTTTCTTTGTTTTTTGTGTAAACAATACTTTAACCAAGGTCGCAGGTGTGAAATGTTTGTAAACACACCATAACCGTGCCGTGGTATTATGGTAGAATAACATAACAGCCTCGTATGTTTACGTTTTCACCCCCCTTCTCAAGCTGGAAGTATATCATGGTGCCGTGTCGTGTAGTGCTAGAACGCCCCGGTTTTAAAAATTTGACAGCACGCGGCATGACGCACCCTCATGTGGGTGTCTAACCATAGCAAAATATTTATGATAGGTATTTTTAAGTCCTTCATTCTACCTCACGCTAAATATTTTTCGCCTTCAAACTAGTTATTTTTGAGGTGGGGACCGCCTCTTTCTGCGAAGCAGTGATGCTCGCAAAAAAGGTGGAGCCCGTAAGGGACGCCCCAGTAACCGCAGTAGGCGACATTCAGTCGTTGGTGATCGAGCGACGATCTCCGGCAACCGTAAGCACGGGTCTGCGAACAGCGAGCAAGTGTAGATCGCCGGCCGGCCCGGCGCATAGCGTTTCGCGCGTTCCTCAAAGAGCCAATAGACCACCACAGGTCCGATCCATCCCAACAGTCCGATGTTCAGCCGAGGTTGCGGGTCAAGCACAATAATGTGCCGCGGCCTAGAGCAGTAAAAGGAACCGGGCGGTTTTTCTCGCGACTCGTCAATAGGAGTTTGACACTCCTTCTCGCCTCACCCTTGGCGAGTGAGCGACAGAGCATTTAAATCGTGGTAATTCGAGACACAATAAAAGAATAGGTGGGCGAACGCGTTCACTTGGGGTTTGATGAATTAGCCTACGCTTACCGCGAGAAAATCATCTGATTCTGCGCTACCGTCCTTGGCGTAGCCCTACGGCACTTGAAAACTCACTTCACGACATTGAAGCGAAGAAATCCTACTTGGCAGTCGCGTATTATAAAAACCGCAAAACCAACGCAGATATCATTTACCATGCACCCTATTACGCATATTAATTATGATAAAATTAGATGCCACAAAGCGATGACAGCGCCACATTAACAATATGACTCAATAGTCAATGGAACTACGCGTTAATTGTGCATTGTAATGAGATGAGATAGGGTCGTTTAAATCCACGTGTCGACCTTGGATATATCGCGGTCATGGTCACTTGTCATCCGTAGTTTGTAGTGGAGCGTATTGAATGGATAGTAGTCAATATTTGTACATATAGTCTATGTAAACTAATAAGCATAATAATTGAATTGTAGTAATAGTATAATGTTTGTAATGTTAGAGTAGATGCAAAAAAAACTCGGCTTACTACGATTCGCTCACGCAGGATGTCCCGAATTAAATTTTGTTGTTCAAAAGCTTTCTAAAATTTTTACTTTGATGTGTTTTTAATATATTGTTGATATAACGGTAACAGGAATGTAACTTACTAGCTACTCTCGCGCGGTTTCACCCTCTGCTCGGCCCCATTTGATCGTAGCGCGATGTTTTATAGCCTATAGCACTCAGGAACATTGTTGCTACCTATCAATGAAAGATGGCCAATAGATGGAGAAGACTAGCTACTGTAGAAAGGTCAAGAGTCATTTTTGGTCCTCGTGCTTCTCCCAAAAGACAGAAGACGGCAGGAAAGCTTAGTTTTTTAGTGGGTGCAAGTCCCATATAACCTCACCGTCTCCCCGGGCGGTGTGTGTATCCGTCAGGCATTATTGTCAGCTGAAAAAAAAAAAATTATTCAATTATTTGTCACAAACCACCCATATGATACACTGCAAGTTTATTATATATTTTTTTTTACAAAATTTAGTAAAAGTTGGACTTGATGCCATAGCCATTCTCTGCTAGACGAATCTGTATTACCTTCGTATGAATAAAGATCTAGAATCACTACATAATTATAATCTATAATATAAAAATGAATCGCGAAATGTGTCGGTAAGCGCATAACTCAATAACGCCCGGACCAATTTTGCCAATTCATTTTTTGTCATTTTCATTAGTAGGTTTTTACGAAAGAAAACTTTAGAAAAGTAAAGGGGAATAGCGGGAACCAACAACCCTTTAGGAGCTGTAGAAGTTCGTTTGCAAAACAAATGACTGACTCAGACTGACACCGGGGGTTCTGGGGATGTCGGATACCCGTGCGAAGCAGGGGCGGTCTGCTAGTATTATACAAAAATTCTCGTGTCACAGTTTTCGTTGCCATACTCCTCCGAAACGGCTTGACTGATTTTGATGAAATTTTGTGCTTATCCGATATCTATAAGAATCGGCCAACATCTATTTTTCATCCCCCTTAATGTTAGGGGTAGTCCTACCCAATTTTTTTTTATTTTTTAGACAAAATTTTTAATTTCTGTTTTTTCATGATACAACATACAAAAATACGGGTCAGCTAGTAATATTATAAAACAAAGTCACTTTCTCTGTCCCTATATCCCTATGTAAGCTTAAATCTTTAAAACAACGCAACGGATTTTGATGCAGCTTTTTTAATAGTAAGAGTAATTGAAGAGGAATGTTTATAAATGTATATTAACATCCATTAAATACTCAGAATACAGGTTCTGTATTCTGAGATTAAATAGTGGGAAAATTTGGAAACAGTATTAGGTACACTCGTGTGAAGCCGGGGCCTGTCGCTATAGTGCTTAATAATAAAAACAACACGTGTTAATTTGTAAGCTAGTTAGTTAGCTATCTATATATTTATGTAGATAGTCGGTACTTCGTTATTGTTAGACAAAATTAGGACATTGCCTATTTTGAGCAAACTCGGAGATCCCATGCAGCGCTAATTTTTAGCCATAGTAACTGTTTATTATTCCTGCCTGACTCCGTGTAACCGTTTGCATTGCCTACATTATAATTGGGTAGTTTCCTAGGTCAAAAATAAATTATTTTGACGTTTCAATACAATCAAATATTGAAAAATAACTATACTTTTATTCATCGATCGATCGATACACAATTTTTTTGGTTTTTTTTAGCTAATTATTAAGAAATAAGTAAGCTATTTGACGCAAAAAAGTTATGACGTCATAGCTCAGTTTTTTATACAAATTTCATAGAAAAGTAGGTATCGTTTTTGACGTTTGGATAAAAGTATTGAATTTGACTAGTTGGAAACTACCGTATTGTAATTAGGTATATTGATTTTACGATAAGTTAAGATTAATAATGTATAAGTGTTTTTGTTGTTTCTTTTTTCAAAAAATACAAATCAATTTGTTTGTTACCTACGTAAAAACTATGACAAAATTTAATTCTAAAAACTGTTTTTATTGTCTGTTTCCTAGGTCAGAATCAAATTATTTTGACTTTGGAATGCAATGATTTTTTTAATACAATCTTCTACTTTCTTTATTATTAAACGATTACCTTACTAATATTATTAATGGGAAAGTTACGATGTTTGGATGCTTGTTCTCCACTCCATCACGCTAAAACGGTTGGACGGATCAGGATAAAATTTGGCACAGGCATAGGATACACTCCGGTATAGGACATAGGCTACTTTTACGAGTATCAACATGACAAAGCCGCGGGCGGAAGTTAGTCTATACAAAACTTTACTTTTTATTTTGTCAATTTAGAAATATGTAGGTACTTATGCTAAAGAGAATCATAAATGACACAAATCGGGTGAGGCGAGATGGAGTTTTTTTTATAAATAATAGGTCAGCAAACGAGCAGACGGATTACCTGATGGTAAGCAGTCAGCGCCGCCCATGGACGCCCGCAGCGGAGGAGTTACGAGTGCGTCGCCGACCCTTTTGGGATTAGGGTTTTGAAGATTTAGGGATTGGGGAAAGATTGGGCCTCCGGTAACCTCATTCACACGGCGAAACACAACGCTGTGGATGTTTCACGCCGGTTTTCTGTGAGGCCGTGGTATCACTCCGGTCGAGCCAACCCATTCGTGCTGAAGCATGGCTCTATTGCACTTAAAGACTATCAGACTTTTACTGACTTAAAATTAAAACCAAAACCTCCGTTCCTTGGACTTCAGGCTGAGGTCGCGGTACCTCAACTCAATGCGCTTGCCCGCCTGAACCCCGGCCCTCGGCTGAATGACGTCATATGTTGCGAATGTTGCGATCTCATTCATAGTAAATTATATCTAATGTTTGACATTTCTATATAAGTGTTGAGTTTCTCTAATACATCACACACTTGGAGATACATATTATATTAGAAACTTAAACACAGCTAATCCTAACTTATGAAACTTAAAAAAACCAGTTTATCATGGTCTCCATTTGTATCAGATCTTTCCACATTCAAAGGTCAGTTTATAATGGTCGAATCTAACCATTATAGCGAAATGCGCGAAAAAAGTTTCTGTTTTTTTTTTTTATTTCTTTCAAGAAATTATGTAGGTACCTATAGATATCATTTGGTTTTCTCTTTTTCAACATTACCTATCTCACACAATTAGTACTTATCCTGTGTCAAAAGTAGGTAAATAGGTCTGTGTATAATACTCAGACCTTTTGTTTTATAATCTGTGGTGTAATAAATATGAAATACCTACAAAGAGTATTTTTTTTTAGATACATCATTTGTTGCCGAAAAATCTCATCCTACCACGTGTGGGAGAGCCATATTATGCCTAAGCACGAATAGGTCAGCTAGACCTAAGTTACACCACGCCCTCACAGATAACCGGCGTGAAACAACCAATGCGTTGTGTTTCGACCCTGTGTGAGAGGTTACCACAGCCCCAATTCCCGCCCCCAACCAAGTCTCCAAATCCCTAATCTCCAAAAGGTCGGCAACGTAGTACCTATACCTAACTGTCCATGGACGATGCCGATTGCTTACCATTAGGTAATCCGCATGCTCGTTGGCGACCTATCAAATAAAAACATATAAACAACAAAACAATAAAAATCTAAATATGATCAATAAGTACTTAATTATAGGTTCCAAAAAAATTCATGTACCTATTCATGGGAATAGGTATGAATTTTTTTGTACTATATCTAGGTAGGTAGGTAGGTACTACTTTTTTTTTCGTTCTTTACATAAAAGGTAAAAAAATTATCCCTATGTTACTACTCTACGGACGTGATACTCATGTCCGTGATACCTAGGCGTATAAATTCTTACTTATTCCTAAATTACGAAGAATTTTACTTTTCCTTGGAGTCTCAGTAGGTACTAGGTAGGTATTAACTTCGCGACGCAGCACATCCAACTACCCCAACGTGTCAGAGCATTTTCGACTTTTTAAACGTCACACATAAAGTTTAAATTCCATTAAATAATGAGCGGGACCTAATTACAAATTTTAGCAGATTCGTGATAAAAAAAAATCGTTTTAACGAACTCGCTAAACAATGTTTTGTCATTGGTCGGTGTCAGAGAACTTTTGGCGGGAAATGAGACGCCATGGTCGGCGGTCGTGTTCTTGTGACGTGTCGAAATCGAGCGTGCTTCTCCCGCATTTGCCGAGTGTTGCCAGCTGCTATGGTTTTGCCAGAAGTCGGGGAGAAATGTTTGGAATAAAATCATAGATTATTAACAGCTTAATAACTTAATTTAGGTTTATTCTTATGAAAGTGATTTATTTTACTGGATCTTTTTAAATAGAGCGTGGGTAAATACAATTTGTTGGCATAAAAGGTGTAATGTATTGTTTCTAAAGGTGCAATTTATATTCAATATGATTAAACAACATTTATTAAGTATTTTAAATAAATTATGTTTTTGGTTTATAAAAGAAAACGACGATAACCTCTCAGCGTATCACTATCAAATCAGATTTTAAAATGTGAGTACCTATGTTTTTTTATTTATGATTTCCAATACCAATAGAGTTTTGACAAAATATTTAACTGTATGTGTAGGTACCTATTTTATTTAAGGAACACTTAGTGAATTGACAGTTAAATAATGTTATATAACTTATTTAAGTATATACTTACTAGTCATACTAATGCTGCTTATTATCATAATACCAAAAATAAACCTCGAATTTCATCATCCTATTTATTCGCATCCTCCGAATTAATAATAATGTACTAATGTAACAATGGAATTTACAAAACCGGGTCTGGCCACACCGTGCCGGGACCGCGATGCCGATGGATGGTACGATCCGGCGATCCCCGCATTCGCTTCGCCTATTCGCTATTCAGTCGAACGCGGCGTCTCGTTGCGCACGCATGTCGCATTTTTGTAGAGCGGTACGCGAACCAGCTGTATTGTCGAGCAACGATAAAAATAAATACGATATGCATTCATGAAACAAACTCCTAAACAAATTGAGTGTATTCAACAGCTTTTGTTGTTACAAACCTGCAACTTGTTACTTACAACGAAACTGTTTTGATAACATAGCCGCCGAAACCCGAGTCGTGCATCGATTTTACTCAGAAAAAATACTTGGATTGAAGTGTTTTACAAGTGTTTAGTGGCTCTCAAGGAGGCTGTGTGACCCGCTATGTCAGCAAGTAACTGTGTTATAAGTGCAAATGTTACGCGCCCCTTTAGAACGGGATTGTTGTCGTAAAGTCGTGAAGTTTGTGTGATTATTTTTGGAATTACATGCGTGGGTTCCGTTGCCCACGCTCGCTACTTCTAAATACTGCGCTTTGACTCAACTGTTAAAGCGTGTAAGAAGCCTAACTCGTTCGAACCTCCTCCGTCATCTGATAAACTGCAAAAATGATGTGGCCGTCATCACAAGCGAGTAAAATACTCACGTTTCTACTTCTAGTCATTGTTGTATACTGCATATGCATGGACACATTACTATTTTTAAGGATACAAAACTATAAAATTGACGTTTTCGATGTAGAAACGAATGTAACACACGAATCAACAACTTTGAAAGAAACTAGAGCGTTACCGAGCTACGAGGAATCGACTTGGGTTCCTTGTACTATAAACCCTTTATGCCATCCAACGGTGAAAGCGCTAATGGTGGACCATATCAATCACTACATTTATGGGCCTTTGTGTGCGATCGTGGATATGGGTCTAGGCATTTCTGAGAACATGAAGTTCTTAACACCGAACATGATATCTTTCTTCCATGTTTTCGTTGCATTGGTTGGCGCGAAACTGGTGACGAGTCCGAGTTTGGCGTCGAGGAGGATCGGTGTGGTATTGTTCCAAATACGAATGTTTTTGGATGACCTGGATGGCCATGTAGCTAGAGAGAGAAAGCATATAAAGGGAGAGAAATCAGAAGTTGGAACTTTAGGGTACTGGGTGGACGGTATTTGCGACACATTAGGTGTTATCTTCATGATGATCGGGATAACATTATATTTGCGAAACAATCCCCCAAGACGTGGGTACAAAAACACACCCGCCAGCACTCTCCCCTACCACCAGTTGAAAGAAATAAATTCGACGGAAGATATAGAAAAGGACCACACTACCGACAATGGGATATCGTACAAAACTAAAGTGACCTTCCAAAAGATAGTTCAAGTTATTGGTCTGTTCTCGGGCCAGATGTTGCTGTCTTCGCTATCATGGAACAGATACATTGATATTTACCAAGATCTGTTAGAGAACTGTACAGAATACGATGTTATAAGACGTGAAACTATGTTCAAATCTGGTAAGTTTTTCTTTGCGTCTGGTATTTGGAGGATAACGAACCCCCACAGTTACCTCCACGCCCTCTCCCTGGCAGTGTTCTGTGATAAAACCTGGTGTTTCTTAAAAACTATACACTACATCGGCTATTTAGGCCTAGTCGTATCTGTGGGTATTTCAGAATTCCTAACTGATAATATAAGATCATATGTAATGGCGGGAATCGAAGGGCGATAAT